GATTTCCAATTTAAGAGAAAGAATAGCTAAACTATAAGATTTCTAGGAATGAAAAAAAAAAAAAAAAAAAAAAAAAAGACTTGTCCAGTTTTGACACTACTGAAGTTAATGACAGAACTCTATTAACAGCAGTTGTGCAGCCAGGTAGTCAAATGTCAAAGCCCTCTTTAAAAATTACCAAATTTTTGGCTAAATGCATGATGGAAAATAATGACTCTGTATCCAGGCTGTGCATTTCTTGTAGATTTGTAATCTTCACTTTGTGATGTGCCACATAGTTGATTGGGATCCTGGAGAACTGTCTCCTGTCCCACAGCCAGTCAGTAGATGTGCACTGTTGAGTAACTGGGTTGGATGGCTGATTGCTCTGAATTTTGTGATTAATTATAATCTTCTGTTTCCAGTTAGCTCTTGTACTGAGTTACTGATAGCAGCCACATGATGTCTGCTTCCATTCCCCTAAAATGGCAGTCTGGCAAGCTTTTTCTGGTAATGGAGCAGAGAACTGTCACTAGCTTTGGGCTGGGCTGCGTTTCCCCTGGGTTAGAGTTGGTTAGAGCTTTGCAAGCTTGAGGTGAGCTGCCAGGAGCACTGGGTTGTGACTACAGAGAGAGAGGGAAAACTGGGAAGTTTATATGGACTAGGTGCATCAGCTTAGAGGACTGAGATAAAGGAAAGCCTTTTTTCTGTACTTTGAATTAACATAGGCACTGGGACTTGTCTGGCTGCTTCATGGCAACTTTGAGCATCTGGAGAAATAGTCTTTTAACTGCCCAGAGCTCCACCTGCATAGCTGCGTTTAGGTGCCCAAGGGGCTGGCAGGGTGTCTGTGATTTGGGCACTCTGAGACAAGGGTCTTTCCTTTCCACCTGCCTCCTGATTTAGGTATATCTGTCCCTTTGTCAGTCTGGTTTTGAAGATTATTCAAGAGAATCTTAGTTTAGCTTGGCAAATGAGTTACATAAGCCCCATTAATCTTGCATAATAACTACAGTAGTTAAGACTTTAAAGCCTAGCTTCCTACTTTCTCTAGAAATAGTTCCTGTTTTGAAATGTGATGATGTGTTTCAGGAACTGCTAATTAGCAGTTTCCCTTGAAAATTCCCATGGGCTTATTCTAAGAACTTTTCCCTTCGTACTCAAGTGTAGATTCTTTAAATTATTAATTCCATAAATCATGTCAGCATTCCTACATAACTCTGCTCAATTTTATCCTAAAATAATCCGCAGCTTATTTTTAGACACTAGGATTAGTGACCTTACTCTTCTATAGTTAGAGATATGCAAATATATGGATGCAACACGATACAGCAGGGGATTACAATATAGACTTTGAATTCTTGCATTATGTGTTGGACCTCCAGCGATGCCCAGGGGCAGCAGTCAGAATCAGAGCACAATCTTATGGAAGGAAGCACAGAGCCTCTCCTCTGAACAGCTTCCCATCTAGTGTAAGGCAAAGCCCGTCAAGTCATTTTGATTAACAGAAAGGGCGAAGGAGGAGAGGAATAGAGTGCAGTTGACCGTGTACTTTAGCTAGGCACTCAGCTGGGTTTTGCTGAAGCATATAATTTCTCATTTATTTTATTTTTATATTTTGTCTTTTTTGCCCCTAACCAAGCGCTTGTTATTTGAATGATCTGTGTGTGTATCATAGCTGAAGTTTGTCCTATAGAAAAGAGGAAGGTAGCCGACTGACCAAATCAGTTTGAGGGCAAGCATTTTGTGAGTCAAGGGGGCAGGATACAATATAAGTAACAATTAGACAACTTATCACATTGATTATCAACAAAAATATATGTAGCACAAAGAAAATAACAAGCATATGTTTCGGTTTTCTTTTCTTTAGATATTATTCTAATTATCATTAGACAACTTGTTGACACCACTTATCTTTTTGAAGTCAGTGTAGGTGGTATTGCATTTTTAATTTAATTAAATGAAGTATGTGATCCCTAGAACATTTATTTATTTTTTGAGTGGTTTTATAACTTCAATACTTCCTCAGTGAACTCAACTAGATAAAGGTAATGGGCTTCCTGTGCTGGCTGCCTGCCCCTCGCACAGCAGTACGGCAGCGGGTGCAGCTTTCATGGGGCTGCAGAGCCGCTTCTGAGCAGGAGATGGGAGCTGTGGCTCTCTGCTAAGCCCACTCTATGAACCAGAGAGGACACCAAGATGTTTTTCACTTCTTTCTTGCCAGAAGGAAGACTCAGAATCAAACTGTAAATATTTAATCACAGTCTGGCTCATGGTCTGCTCAAGGCAAGGCCATAGTGGGCTTATCAAAAACATTCTTCTAATTGTTTTAATTATCCTAAGCAAAAACATAAACTACTTTTCTCTACTTACACTCTTACTACAGTATATATTTTATTTTTTTTCCATACTGATGCTGGGAAGTCATAGAGAAGCAGCAGTGCTAGCAAGCAGTTGGAGCTGTGTGTATCCGTAACATTTAAATCTCAATCTGAAAGGCACTTCTGAAAGGTAGTGTCCCTTTATGTTTTGTGTGTTCAAATATCAGACAGTTTAGAGGGGTGCTTGTAAGTTAAAAAAAAAATCAAGGACTCTTGTTCCTGTACGTGTTCTGGTAATTAATAGCTGACAGTGAAAAATAATTACCCCCAATTCTAATTTTTTTACCTGATTTTTCAGAAAGTTTGTCAAGTTTTGGCTTTGCAATATGTCATAAATCATATTTTAGCTCATCTTGTAAATAGAGATAAAATTGCCTTCCCAACATATTCCATGTTTTCCTGTGTAATTAACACCTCGTTCACAGTTGTGTCTGCCAGTCAAAGCCCTGCCTTCTTCCCCCTGACACTTCCTTGATACTTTGTTTAGACTGCTGAGATTTTAAGTGTCATCCTCTAGATACTTTAAATAAGTCCAAACAGGAAAAGGAAGGTGCTTCAAGAAGTCAACAGTATAGATCATTATAACCCAGAGGGACTATTTAAAAAGTATGAAGCAATTTATCGTTGTTTATTGCTTACATCATTATCTCTCAATCTGTTTTTCATACTTTCAAAGGAAAGTTTACTGTTTTTCAAAAAAAGTCAGGAAATACTAGTTTCCATCTGTATTTCTGAAAGAGACATCAGTCCAAAAGTCCAAATCGAGCTAACAACAGCTCCGTTTGCTTGTGCACATGTGCCTTTCCCAGTACTGTGCCCTCTCTGAGGCCAGACAAGCTACTCGGTTGCCCAGTGAACTGCATCAGTGAACTGATGAAAGTCCAAACCAACTCTGTATTTTTGTGGGCTATCCTTAGCCTGAATGAGTTCCCAGCTCTGGCTCATCACAGGGCTGCGTGGACAGTGTTACCAACACAGCAGAGGATGTGGGTGGGTGTTAAGGGACAGTACAGCCTTGAGCCCAATATAGTCACCTAGTACTGTATTTTGATTCTGAAAATTTACCCTGAGCTGCCCTAGTTACAGCCCTGCATGTGCGAGCACTGGCAGGATTAAACAGCCCAGCACACAACATATGTCTCAGCTAGTTAAGACCAGAGAATTTGGCACTCCAAATATGCTGAGGTCTTTGGTCTTTTTTCACGCTGTCCATAAAACACACTGACTGACCGAGGACCTTCGTAAAACCATGGTGACAGTGCACAAGTTCTGTGGCAGAGTCCCGTGGGTAAAACACATCCCCACAGTCCTTCAGTTCTTCCTTCAACTCACAGTGCTCCAAATCCCTACCCCCCTGCCTCTCAGGACAGTCCCTGGCATCTAGGCAAGAGTTTACCCTGGTGAGCTGCAGGGTGTGAGGAAGAGGGGGTTTCCACCCTAACTGTCATCATCTCGTTTCCACTCTCATAGTTCAAGATTAATGAAGGACAGAACACGAGAGTGGTTTCCTCCAGAACAGGGCTTTCGTCTGTAAAGAGTGAAGCTAAGATTTCACTTTTCTGTTCCTTAGATTACTTCTGGAATTTACATGAGATTGTCATTTAATAAAACACAGAAGCAGGCTTAGAAGTAGGGACCAAAGTTTACAGAAATACTCCTATGTGTTAATTGTGAGCTGTGTAGCAACAGTTTTCATTTTTTAACTTACTAAGCCAAGTTTTCACCAGGACATCCTCCTAAATGCTTTTTGTTAATTTACATTTGCATATGCAAGGAAATAATTTAGTTTTAATGGATATAACACGCTTTTTTTTTTTTTCCCATCGCACCTAGATATTAATTGTTCTCAGCTGTTGTTTATTAAAAATGTGCATCAGATTTCAGCTTGGAAATAAAGATGTAAATTACTTCCATTTTTATGTTGATCTGCCTAAAAAAAAAAAATTTAAAAAAGCATATGTGAAAACAGCAGTTGTTCAATCAAACTCTGTACTGAAAATTTGTAATACTTATATGTGCATGTTTTTCAGAATCCAATCGGAAAGTCTCACATTAACTTAAGTAGACTTTTATGGACCTTAAGTTTTAATGCACATGATTCTGCATGTGTATTATATACACAGATGGCGGTAATTGCACAATGAAGGTGAATTGTTTTTGCAAATAAATCTCTGACTTTTCTGCTTGTTATCACATCCTGGAGAAGAAGGGTATGGGTGTTTGTTAATTGGGTTATATTGTACATATGTACTTACTGTGCAAGGCAGGGTGACTGCTGCAGCACAGTTTAACATCCCAAGCTCTGTTATATTCAGATAAAATGTAATTTCTTTACACCGCATCAAGATGCTCCATTTATAGGCCTATCAATGTGCACTCACATTTGAGACATAGCTTTAAAATGTGACAGTAAACGTTACAGTGATACAAATACAGTTTGTCATAATTATTAAAAACAATCCTAAAAGTACTCAAGTTAGATAATGTTACAGTGACTGATACAGAGTATTAATTTTGGATAGTTTTTGAATTTTTTGCTAATAAGCAAGGCAGCAAATCTTTTCTTAAACAAAACTCTTATTCCAAATTAGTCACTAACCGTAGCATTCATAAACATCTGTTGTTCTTTCTTGTTTCCAGGGAAGACGAGGCAAACCAGGCCCCCCGGGAAAACCAGGGCCACCAGGACCTCCTGTGAGTAACTAATGAGGGAAATGGGAAATTTTCACTCTATCCTGGAACTTTGTTAGCATTTTTATAGCAGGTTACCTGATCATAATTATAGTTGAAAACAATATGTGTTTACTCTGCTGTATCAAACAGCTGCTATTGCTAGCCTTTTGACAGAGCAAAGATAAGAGGACTGGGTCCACAGATACGAAGGACTACACAGGAGGGAAGGAACAGATGCGGTCTTGAGCAGAGGAAGCAGAAATTGTCTGGCATTTCAAAGAACGACTGTCCATGTATGCCAAATGTGAATACTGTGCATTCATTCACTTTGCAAAATGCGTGATGCTCTGTAGAAGATGGGATAATTTCTGTCTCAGAGGGATAATTTGAAAGATGAAGGACTGTGTGAAGCATGTGCCAACTGTCTGAATGGTGGGGAGGATTATACCCAGCACTGGAATGAGCACTCAGCTGTAGTTCAAATGAGTTTACTGAAGAATTAAAAAGATTAAGAAATACATGACTCTATGAAAGGATTTGTAATATGAAGACCTAAAGCATTTAGCTCAGATCTAGGAGGTTTGGGATTTTTTTTTTTTTTTTTTTAGTGATACGTGATTTCAAATTTGGAGTCAGGCATGGATGTATATTAATCTAGAATGAATGCAGACTTCCTTTGGTAGAAGAAAAATTTGTAAAATTACCTATATATTGTGTTGTAAAAATGCTGTCATGCACAAATACAAAACAGCTATTTGTTTGTAGCTTAAGTAAATGTGTACTGCTTTACATTTTTAATATCCAACATGAATTTCCTAATTCCTTTTTCTGCTTACCAGAAATAGGTAAAGGCCAGCAGTTTACACATTAGAACATTTGATTCATATGCTTCAACCTCACTGCAAGGGAAAACTCCCCTTGTTTGTAGAGAAGAGGGTAAAGCACTGCTGCATGAAATACAACGACTAAAGTGAAATAGATGTCATTTACACTCACCTAAAAATAAAACTGCATAAATGTTATGTTTTCCCCTTTTTCGTTGCAAAAGTTTTTCAGAAAGAGGAGTTGATGAAGTTAATTTATCCTGCATAAAACTAAATAGTTAAAAATCGCTCCCTCTCCCTCTTCTCCCCTGCATATAATGATATTAAAGCCTTGCTCAGTTGAGTCTTTTGTACAGTTTGGGCTTCCGAGTGCTGAAACAGCACTGCAGACTGCAGGAATCTGAACATTGGAAAGAAATGATGCAGAATCTTTCTTAATACAAATGCCAAAAATGACCTTTAAAATAAAATTTAAAAAAAGTCAAACCATAGCAGAGGTCAATGTTAGACCTAATCTACTTAGCTTTTTGTGAACCAGTGAAAAGCTGTTTCTCCATTACAGATTTCTGCCGTCATAGATTTGCTGGCAGGTCAGGCTTGTGAAGATGTATGATAGACATACCAGAAATCTTGAGTGGAAACTAAATTGCACCTTTGTTACTGAGACCTATTTCAGATTTTCTTACAGCGTATGGAACACTCAACTTGATTAGCATGTCAGTATCCATACACGGAGCTCTATATGGGTACTGTAGCCTAGCACTACATTTCAAAAAAGCATTTTTCAAGCAGTCATGGCCTAAATATTAGCTAAAAGTATTTGTTTCTGATACAACTATATTCATGCAGTCCTTACTTTGGATACAACCCCACCAGCATCTTGTGTTCCTCTGCCAAGACTGAGAATATAACGCACAGAAAAAGCATTTTCTAAAAGCAGTAATGACTGCTAATGTGCATTGGCAGTATCCACACATTTAAAGTGCTACAGCTTGTACATACCAAAAAGACTTTAACATGATTCATCATTCCTGCTCTCTTTTTCAAGGCTCAAACCACATTAAATTTTGCTATATTGTGCTTCCAGTTACCCATTCTCTTCTAATAGTAAGTAGTGGCAGCTTCCTCATGCACATGAGTATATATAGAAAGGCCTTTACTTTGGCCTTTCCAAAGTGTAACAGAATTATACCTGCAGGGTGGTTGCTGTCAAATTTGTCATATGCAGGGTACAAAACTTTTAACAGGTTGACTGAACATTTAAAAATTAGACTCTCCACCAAAAGTAAGTTTGGTGTTTAGTTGATGTCTAAGAATACAAAATTTGTATTTGAGAAAAAGGAGTTTCAGTCATTAATTGTTAGGGTGGCTGCAGTACACACTGATTGTTTGAAATTATTAAATTTACTTAATTTATTTATCAGTTTATGCCATGACATTAAGTATTTAATTTAGGTATCAGAATAGCAGGTGTTCAGTAATGACAAAAAATCCTGTGAGAAGGAAAGTTCTGCCTCCTTGAGGAAGAAGTTGATAAACAGGGTACAATACAGGGTATAAAGGATAGTCTTAAAAATGACGTGTGCAGGGAGGGATTATGAGACTATATTCTGAATAGTCAAAAGGGCTTTAAATTGGACACTGCTGAGTGATGTGTGTTGTGATTTATTAAAATAGTAATTTTTTACCTGCTTGTCATATGACAGCATTTAAGACTTTTCTAACCCTCTCTTAATACCTCATCTTTTCTTTTTTCTTCCTAATCTAATTTCTGGGATTTTTTTTTTTTCAGCTGAATTGATGTTTGTAGTCAGTTTCTAGTCCCTTAACATCATCTGCACATCTTGGGTTAAAAACCCGAATTGGTGTCAGAAATATAGATTGATTGGCAACTGGTGATGAAACTACTCTGTTAAAGTGGAACTCTCTATGCAACTTCCTCCAGATATCCATTCTTTTGTGCCATTTTTCTCTTATAGAATCATAGAATGGTTTGGGTTGGAAGGGACCCTAAAGATAATCTAGTTCCAACCCCCCCTGCCATGGGCAGGGACACCTTTCTTTTCTGTCAATTTTTCCCTTTGGAGCAAGTCTTGTGGCCACAAAAGACAAGGAATCCTTATGGATTTTTATTGATGGGTTATAAAAAATATTTCTGTAAACCTACCCAGATGATGATCCTCCTTTGAGTATTTTTTAAAGTTTATTAAAAAGTATAGGCTCTTAAAGTGTTCTGTTATTCCCTTCTAGTTCAGAATTCATGGGTTTCATCCTTGATGTCTAATGTTGGTTTTGAGTACTGTTCTGTTATTTCAATACTGGAGAGCTAAAATGTGTGCTCACGCTTGTCTCACTCCAGCAGGTAACAATTTATGCTGAAAACAGGAATCCAAACAGGTTAAGTAGAACAGCAGCTCCCTCTAGTGCTTTTTGATCCCTTCCCCCCTTTTAAGAGCCTAAGGAGCAGTTTAAAGCTTCTGTTAAATACCCTTATTCATTTCATTCTGAAAATTATGATTGTGAAATCAAAATCTCTACCCTTCAAATGTATTTCATACATTTTCTTGCTTGCATTTTATTCTAAAGTCTTCTGAAAGAGATACTGTCTTTCACATGCTGTTACTCTACTCAGCATGGCTCTTCGTGGAAATTAAAATGCTGATTTTATGAAACAAAAAGAAATACTATGATGGTAGGATGCTGTGAGGTTGCAAATACAGCATTTTGATCTGACTGGAGAACTGAGCTGATACCTTTCTTCAGCCATAGGTGCTAACAAAAATATATACAGGACTTAGCAACACAGAAGGGGTTACCAGCAGACCATAGCTCATTTTGCATATGTATAAACATAGAATGTTTTGGGTTGGAAGGGACCATGGGCAGGGACACCTTCCACCAGCCCAGGTTGCTCAAAGCCCCGTCCAACCTGGCCTTGAACCCTTCCAGGGAGGGGGCAGCCACAGCTGCTCTGGGCAACCTGTGACAGTGTCTCACTACACTCACAGTAATGAACTTCTTCATTGTATCTAATTGAAATCTACCCTCTTCCAGTTTAAAACCGTTACTCCTCATCCTGTCAGTACACTCCCTGACAAAAGAGTCCCTCCCCATCTTTCCTGCAGGCCCTCTTGAAGTCCTGGAAGGCCACTATAAGGTCTCCCTGCAGCCTTCTCTTGTCCTTGCTGAACAACCTCAACTCACTCAGCCTGTCCTCCTAGGGGAGCTGCTCCAGCCCCCTAATCATCTTCTGGCCTCCTCTGGACTTGCTCGAGCAGGTCCATGACCTTCTGATGTTGGAGGCCCTAGACCTGAACACAGCGCTGCAGGTGGGGTCTCATGAGAGCAGACGGGGAGAATCACCTCCCTTGACCTCCTGGTTACACTTCTCTTGATGCAGCCCAGGGTGCACAATGCATTGGCTTTCTATTTCCTGCACCGTATTTTTTTCAGTACTTAAAAGCAAATGCATGAAAGGTGTCTGAACTTAGTATTTATATGCTATTGGTCTAAGCATGTTCAGGTGCAGTTCCACAGTCTTCACTTAGGCAAAATACTTTTCTGGTCTTGGGTTGTAGAATTACTACCTGCCTGGTTTAGTGTCAAGTTCTGTTAGGAGGAGATATATTATTTTTCTATTTGTTCTGCTTAGAAAATAGCTTCATGATGTCTGGCACTGTTTTATATATTATGGTCAGTTGTGGGAGGTTTTGGGATTGTGAGTTTTTTTGTTGTGGGTTTTTTTTTGTTTGTTTTTACTTTTACATGAATCAGCAGCCAGGTGTTTCTATTTACGTAGGTAAGCTAGAGGACAGAAAAAGGCGGTTTACTGGTTTCTCCATTAAGGCTTAACTATCTTTTCTGTCCCAGTTTTCTCTGTCTCTACTGGAACTGTTATGACTGGAGGAATTCCATTTCTCAATAGTTCCCATCTTAGTGGGACATCAGATTGTTTTTAAAATAAAAAGAGTGCCAAACTAGAGTTTTGCTAGAGACTTCCACCAGTATAGCAACGTTCTTCGGGGTGCCTCGTGTTGCTGTTTGGCAGAAGGGAAGTGCTATCAGCACTGGGTTTTAAGGGTAGGGAACATGAGGACTACCTGATTTGGCCTATTGCCATCTTGTCCAAGAAGCTGTCTGTGGTAGAGGTGGGAAAGAAACTTGTGGTCTTCTAAATCAGATCGCGGTTAGTAAACTGCACTCACGATTATTCACCCTCGTGAACCTGCTGTTTTCTACCAACACGTCCAAAGTTACTGTTTGCAACCAGAATAGATTTATTCCACAATTTCTATAGCCCTTGAAGCTCATAACTCAGTTCATCATTTACCTTTGCAAGGGTATCTTTTATTTTCACAACTATTCTTGCCTGGAACATTAGCTTTGTGTTACTCCTTAAAGTCTTAAATTAAAATATGGTTTCATTTTTGTTTGTGTTGAATGTGAGACACTGGAGAAGTTCACTGACTACTTGGATTTCTTCATTTAATTCCATACACTTGGTCTCTTGTTATTCAGTCTGTATGTCAGTACCACCAAAATAGTTATCTTAAGTAGCCAGCAGTTTGCCTTGGAAATCTCATTTCCTCTGCCTCAGGAAATATTGTCATTCCTCTACCAATATTTGAAAGTGAATGAATGTTATCAGTTGATTACAATAAACAGAAAATTAAAGAAATGATAAGTGAAAATTGGCAGTAGCATTTCCTGGACTTTCTGCTGCTTTTTAGAATATTGGAAATGCTTACAAGGTAGGATGGGAATGGCTGGCAAGGGTTGGTCATATTGCTTGTTTCTATGCATTTCAGTTTATAAAATCCATATCAAAATGTAATTTATTTAATGTATTCTACTGTGGCAGATGTCATGCCTTCATCTTCCTTTCCATTTGTGCTTTGGAATAGTTATACAATACTGCACATCTGCACTGATGAGTTTCATGATTTTTTACGTTCTAGTAGTAGAAAAACAGTATTGTATTTTAATGGGCGGGCACATATCTGAAATAGATGGATAAAGTGATTACACTGAGTCACTTGCAATGCTGTGTTCTCTGAAATGGGCTGTTCATGAGATGCAACCAGTACAACGTACCTGTTACACATTTTACTGCATGGACTGTGAGATTGGGTAGACCTTTTCAGCAGTCTCATTATTACAGAAATGCAGATGAACTATAAAAGCTAAGAGAGAAAAATATTTTATAAACCCCAGTAATTTCACAGTTTGGAGCTATTTCCTTTTAAGCACCTGTGTTTCTATTCCTGCTTTGTAGAAAAAACATCTGAAACCTGTTTGTAATTCTGGAAAACAATCAGGACACATTTTCAGTTATTTTCTTATTCATACAACTGTACTCTATGTGTGCTTCACTTCTCTCAATTACACAGCTTGATATTAAAAAAGAAAAAGGAAACACTGCTTGAGTGAGATTCAAAGTGGCAGATGTGCAAAATTCTTATTCAAAAGCTAGAAATTGCTTATACAATAATTCTTCAACTCCTGTTAATTTCATTGCTTCTCCACTTGCAAACCAATACTACTGGTTCTCTTTTTACCAGTAGAGACTTTGTTGTGGATTGTGCAGTTATGTTAGTGGATGGACAATTCACTTCGAAAGTTAAATGAATGGAAAAATTTATGGCCATATATCTATTCCAATGCTGGGGAACAAAGTGAGAGTGAGGCACCTGTGATGTTTCATATGGCTTCCATATCTTCCTAACGTCCCCTAATATTTAAATACCACTATCTTTCTGTAACAATGTAATCACAGTAAAATACATAGGATCGTATTTCATAATTTAGTGGTGATGTCTCAGAACACACCTGTCTTGTTCTGGTATGCTGCAGTAATGTTCTGCTAGGTCTTACTGATTTATCCATCAATTTTAATAACTTTTGCCTATCTGATTTTACCATCTTCCTAGTTTTTTATACCTTCAGACTCCATGGGAACTTTGTGATTACTTCTCTTTTATTAGTTAGTTTCTATCGAGTTGATTTTTTTTTCTCCAAGGAAGTTGTCTGTTTGATTACTCAAAATCATGGTTCTGTTTCTCATCTTTTTGAAGTTCAGTACCTCAAGGGAAGTACTTTTGCTGGTAAGGAGAGCCATCAGAGTTTCACAGAATGGTCTTCTACATGTGGGAAAAATTTGTGGTTTTGCCATTCTGTGCACTCCTACAGACCAGATGCATCTTTCCAGAGAAGGCTTTGCTGTCAGAATGCAAATCATGATCTACCTCATTTAAAAGCTCTATCAGAACACTTCAAAATATGATTACATAGGAGCGAAAAGATACCAGGGGATATACATGTGCAATTATCAGATATGAGGTATGCCACCTGTGACAAAATCATTGCTGTTCTTGTCATGATCTTTTACCCTGAATTGCCTGATGGTTTTGCAGCAGCAACTCTGAAGTAGTAAACAGGTGATGTCTGTCTTAGAAAAGTAAAGTAACTGGGTATTTAGTTTATATTTACCCAAAATACATAGTATTTCAGTGTCTTCCTCGGATCCCTAGCTGAAACCAGTAGATAAGATTTTTCAGTTTTTCTAGGAATATTTTGCAGTCTTGCTGTTGCACTGCTAAGAACTTGACAGCCGTTCTTGTTACACAAGTCTTAACCAGTTGAAAGAGGTTTTACAGGTTTTACAGGTTCTTTAGCATGAAAATGGGAAGACTTTCAATAGATTCTTATTCTGAAAGTGTAGAAAGCTGTTTTCTTTTTATGAAGCATACCAGAATATTTCTGTCATGTGATGTATGTATAAGAACAGTGCACATAAAATGATTAACAAGGACCTTTACAAAATCTAAATGCAATAAAAAAATCTGACTAATATCTAACATAGCATCTGACTGATAAACAACCTCCATTTTTTTTGAGGAACAACCCTTTTCAAAACCGGAGAGAATACAGTTTGCTAAAGCAATCTTTAGGGTGCTTGTATGCCAGCTACATTTTTCCCACTAACAGAAGCTGCAGAGGATAAATTGTAATTATAAAAAAGCCCTGCAGGAGCAGAGTTGCCCTTGTGCCCTGTCTCTGTTAAGTGCAGGTCATTCAGACCAAATAATTTAATTGAGTACTTTGTAATCTTATTAATGTAGTCAAATGTTTCTTATAATCATCATGAGTGTCTGTATTTCATATTTCATGATGTGAAAATTTCACCTTAAGGAGAGCTACTGTGCTAATTTGTAAATTTAACTGAGTTTTAGTTCATACGATCTTGACTGAAATTTTTATGTTCTACCCTGATTTACAACACTTAAAAATCGCATTGGTTTATGGCATATTATGTCTAAAAATGTTTTATTTTTCTCAAGCACATATTTTTTAATGTCTCCATCCTAAGCCTGCATTTGCATAGAAAGTTCCTCCTCGGTTACTGAAATTCTTGATGAAAGCTGTGTGTTTAAGTATAAACTTGCAAAGCTGATAAAACTAGGAAGTTACGCTTTTGGAGAATTCTGGCATTCCTCAATTTCTGTACTCTAAGTTAAAAATCTAGCTGTTTACTTTAGAAGCTGCTTCTACATCAAAACTTGAGTTAGCTTTGTGTTAGTGGAAAGAGTTTTAAAATGCTGCAGAACAAAGGTGCTGCTCATACCAGAAGGGATTTGTATTAAAATTGATGTGGATATCACCTCTACCTTCTCTGACAGATTCACTCCAAAAGAAGATGCCAGTTTTCAAAACTCAGGGATTTAGAAACTGACTTTCCTCCTCTGTGCCTGAAAAAAAAAAAAGATTTAATGAACTTACAGAAAATAATTTACTGTGTAATCAAATAAAAATCTAACCCCTTTTACATGACCACTGCTCTTTGAATACAGGTATGTAAACATAACATTAGTTAAATTAAAATCACCTTCTGATGCATATTTTTTCATATAGGGTCCTTCTGGACTAAAAGGAATTCTGAATTCATTGAACAAGCATTATAATGAGGTATGGAGAATTGATATTGTGTCTCTGTGTGTGTGTGTGTTTATGATTCAGAAACACCTAAGGTAGAAATGACTACAGTTTTGATCCCTGTGAACCACATTTCAAATTAATCCAAAAAGTGGATCCTTCCCTGTCCCCTTTCTGCATCCCTGTACAGGATCAGTCCACACCCCAGTCACATACCTGCTGTGTCATCTATCCAGCTGCCATGTGTCTTGACTCCCATCCATCTTCTACTCACGTATTTTTACCTGATACAACTCAAAAAGGAGGTGGGTGGACCACCTAGCTGTTAGCATAAAGCATCAGCTCCCCATTTCCAAATTCAGTTGCTTTGAACCATACTTAATATTTCTTCTTTATTGACCTACTCTGTCATGATCCTAAGAGTAGAATAGAAAGACAAAGAGGCATAATTTTAAAAGATCTGCTAGCAATCCGTGAGAATTGTCTTCATGTTTGTATTATAGACTAATAAAAATAGTCTTAATTACAGAACCTCCTGCAGCTCCAAGCTCTTCATAGAAAAAAGTTAAAATTGTGTAGGACAGTTGTCCTGGATTTGACTGGGATGAAGCTAATTTTTTCTTCGTAGTAACTAGAATAGTGCTGTGTTTTGGATTCAGTATGGGATTTGGTATGAGAATAATTTTGATAACGCACCAATGGTTTTAGTTGTTGCCAAGAAATCAAGGACTTTCTAACTCCCTGTGTCCTGCCTGTGCACAGGTGCACAAGAAGTGGGGAGGGAGTATGGCAAGATCAAAGGACCCAAATCGGCCACTGGAATATTCCATATCATATAACGTCATGCTCAGTATATAAATGAGGGTGGGCTGGGCTGGGAAGCTGCTCTCTCTTTCTGGGATTGCAGTTTCAGGATTTTCTCTTCTCTGAGATCCTTAGCCGGGAATGGGCTGGGCATTGGTCAGCAGGTAGTGAGCAACTTCATTGTGGATTACTCTTTTGTATTTTCTATTATTATTATTATCATCATTAGTATTTTAATTTTATTTCAGTTATTAAATTGTTTTTATCTCAAGCTAAGAGTCTCCTTACCTTTACCCCTCCAATTCTCTCCCCATCCCCACGGCAGGGGGAGGGAGAGCAAGTGGCTGCGTGGTGTTTGGCTGCCAGCCGGGTTTAAACCATGATGACAATATACCATGTGACAGATTTTACCTTCTTACCACAGATTTTTCAAATTATTTACGCAGTGGTAGTGTCTGCCATTGTAAGGGATCATAATTCAAAGATCACAGAAGTTTTATTAATTGATGCCAAAGTGAGTATGTAACTTCTCTGATTAGAAAATTTTATTTTATTCAATGACTGATGAAGCACTGTTAGAGGAATGTTTACTTAATACAAAGGCTACTCTGTGTATCATACCTTAAGTCATGCAGGTCAAACCTGGAAGACATCCATTTCTTTTAATATTAAAATGCATAACTATAAAGAGCAGGTGAATTCTCAATATTTTTCTTACATAACATACCCAGATGAGTATTAAAATCTTTTTCTTGAATAGGAATTCTGGAACAAAATTCATGTCAAACATATGTTCCTAGTTGCTTTTATCACTGAAGTGATTTATCTGATACTTCTGATATTTAATCCATTCCAAATCACTCTATCACGTTAGAACATACATTAGGAATAAAGCCTAGTTTTATATGCTCTTACGGACAGGGACATTTTCATATCTGGAGACTTAGTTGCTGGTTTTGGTCTGCCATTTCATATGTATGTGTTGAAGTTTTCTATAATTTGGTTTTATACCTTTAGTTTTCTTACCATTTTCTTTTTCCTGACAAAAACAACTTTCACTGATACCAGCCCTGTTTATCAATAACATATTTATTGTAATTCATTCCCTGCCTCTGGACTATTAATCTCTTCTACCGTGAGAGACCCTTTGAAGTTAATTCTGCAGGAGGAAATACAAACAGTGGTGATCTTCAGGAACTGGCATCTGTCTCCAAAAATCATGGTTCTTAGCATTATAAGGCTCTAAGAATTCCTAAGGTATCTTATATTTCCTAATTAACAATATTCTGGAAAAAAAATGTAGACCAACTGCTTTGTGTCTATAAATTAATCATCTTTTCAATTCTGTACAGTTTACCAACTTTCTTCTTCCTTTAGCTATCTAGTTTGAAGCTTTTAATGACTCCGTCATGAGCAATTAGCTGTTCAAGAAGGAAATGCTGTTTGGTTTCAGATGAGGGTGGATATGGCTTTCTCATGCATGTAGCAGGCTTTAAATCCTCAAACTTTCTGTAACTACGTGTTCACATCTTCCTGGTCAACTTAATTCTCCAACTGCTACAGCAAACATATTAGTTTCTATACATTTTATGATGGGAATGAGATATTCTCATAAAGGACAAGACAAAGACATCAAAGAGGTGATCAAAGTCAAGGGCAGCGTGTCTGCTTTGTCACTGATAATTTATTTAGTCAGATGTAAACACCAGTAACTGTCCTTTTTTCCCCACTCTTGTATAGTATGATGAGTGATGATTTTGTTCACTGCACCAAGCAATCTTTCACATTCCAATAAATTATTTGCAATGTGCCTCAATTATTTTCCTTTATAAGATGATATTCCAGTGCTATTCTGAGGTTTTTGAGATTTCTTACACCACAAGAAACAGTCTTGTCATGTTTCCAACATTTTATTCATGTTCTCAAGGATCTCACAAGGTCTTCTTTTAGTTTGTCTTTTTAAAGTGTTTAAACTGTGACCACATTTTTGTTGCTATAGAGCTTTTAATATCTTTTTTTTTTTTTTTTTTTTCCTGAGGATATTAGTATGGCTTCTTTGCATTGGTGTTTCTAGGAATCATGAGAAACTGCTACCTAGAAATGTGGGTGATCAGTGAGAGAGATCTTAAGACCCATCATAATTAATAACGTCTTTTATATATATGTAATTTCTCTGTTTCTTAGCAGATTACTTGCAATTCTTCTGGTTTCTGTATGGTATCAGTGAGCAGTTGTAATTGCACTGTGTATTTAAATAATTTGTTGCGACCAAGCTTTTTCTGTCTCAGGATCAATCACCTTACTGTGTAAAGAGGCTAAAGTGCAAGTCTTTAAAAGCAGAATTTACTTGATCCATGTATACAGTGAAAGAGACCACTATAAATACAGTTGCTGATTGCAGCAGCAAATTGTGCTGAATGGCAAACCAAAATCAGCAGTCTTTCTTTAATGAAGGTGAGGGTAACCTGCAGAGGATAAGTAGTAGCGTTGATCCTTAATGGGGGGGGAGACAGCACTGGAGCATTTCTTCCCTTGTTCTTCCTTTGTGCCTGTTCTTGCAAGACGTGTCACTATTTTTATATTCCTTCTCGTTGTGTCTTCTGTGCTTTCAGTGTAAATGTGATGGTTTGCATGTGTTCGATACATGCATCTTGTTCTCTTCATTATGCCAAGAAACTGGTTCTGCCCTGCTCTGTAGGTTACATTCCTTCAGTGACTGGTAAATGAGGCCTTGTGATTTGTGTTTATACACACTCAGGCCTCTGTTATCATCCTTTGTCTTGGCTTTCAAGGTCTCTGCTTGTCATCTTTTTTACTTACCGGTTTTCCGTACATAGATATAAGGTCACTTCAGTCAAACCTGCTCCTAAACATCTTTGCAAAGGGCATACAGATCAATTTAATCTAAAATATTCTCCAACACGTAAAAATAAAAATGAAACCACAACACAAAGCAATTGAAACTACATCACAATCTGCTCAGCAAATGTTTCAAAATCATTATAATTCATAATAATTATAGATTATTCTTGAATAATTCGATATTACTTTTCTAAGATTTTTTTCTTCAGCATATTTTACTTACATTTTGTTGTAAAGAGAAAATGACCTATAAATATGCAATGTTTGGTCTAATACCCTTTTTTTTCCCCTCCTTATATGCAAAAGAAATGCACGACTCAGAATAAATCGTAACTGATAGTGTACTCATAATAACAGACACCTAGACTGTTCTCAGTCAAACGGTAGTCAACTACTTCTCAGCAATACTTAAGTTCCCTTCTTTGGGTATCTGCCTCTTGCTCTGGAGGTGATTTTGACAATGAGGTTATTAATAGTTTTACAAACCCTAAACACTGAAGAAGATCCTCCAGAACATTAATAATTATAAAATAATTATTGATTTTATTCAGGTTATATTTAGTTATCAACTTATGACTATATTAACAGTGTAAATGGCACTTTTATTCATCATGATGTTTTCCCATTTTAGAGATACAGAAACTGGAACATGGGAAGGGGAGTTGACTTGCTCAGGGTTCCCATTCATCCCAGTGGCATATGTTTAAGGGCTCGGATTCCTTGGGTCCAGACTCAAGCTCATCTTTCAGGGTCATTGGTTTTGTTGCTTTTTCCATTGTCATTACGAGAAAACATGTTCCCCTTAAGTAGTCTGAGCCTGGCTTTGGCAAGAGGAAACCATTGGCTTTGTATTCTGTTGAGTCTTTACCTTCTACAGAAGAGTAAATAGATGCAGTGCAATAACACCTGAGCAAGTATACAGTCTGAACCCCTGGTTCTTAAATCTCTCTCTTTCCTTTTAGGAGCAGTGTGAGGAGCCTGTTGATCATATTCATTCCCTCTCCTTCTGTTTCACTACTGTAGTAGACTTAAATTAGTTCTATTTTACATTTCATTACTTCATGCTGCTCAGAAGTAAAAAACATGGTTTTTGTAATAGGAGAAGTGATTTTTATTGTTCTTTTCTAACATACTTGAGAAATGTACTGTAATAATGAGCATAAAAAATATGTTCTTTGCATTAAGGAAAAACAATACAGATTTGCATAGCAATATTCAACATAGATATTTCACTTTTATGCTTTTATTCATCTTCTGCTAGTCTGACTGAAGCATGAATACATGGTAAACGATGTATTGCTGCAATACATTACTTAGATGTACTGCATAGGCAATTAGTATTTCTAGTAATAGATTAGGACTTCTGAATTTACATACTGGTAAATTATGTGAAATTGTTATGGGAAATAAATTGTTATTGTAAATAAATGGAGACATGTTCTGTTCTCTGATCTTTGTGGTGATATTTCTTCCCAGAGTGATACAAGACTGCTAGGATTACTTGGGACCCCTGGACCTAAAGGCCAAAAGGGAGACATTGTAAGCATTTTGGATGAATTTGGAGAGATTTCAAAGTGCCTATCTAACCTGTATCTGCCACCTTTAATACAATATCTGTTATTTATCACAATGGTCACTGAAGGAATAGATTTTATATATGACTGGCTCTTTGATCTGTATAGTCCAATATCCAACTCACCCTGCTATCCTGCAGGTACAGCACTTGAGCCTTTCTCCTGTAATATACACTTAACCAGAAAGGAAAAATGCAGGAAGAATTACTTGTAGTTTCTATAACACTGAGGAGAAGTCAAATGAGCTGGCCTGCCAGTTAGGGGGAAAAGACTCTAAAAAAGTTGAAATTCAAAAAATTTTTTGATAGTAATTAATGAATATTTAAAGTAGTTTCTCTGTAACAATGGGACTTGATATACCAAAAATACTTACAGTTAGCCTCTAAAAATTACCTGGAGGTCAAATTCTGAATCCACATCATATGGCAATATATTGTTTATAGGCATCTGTCCTGTTGAAACAGTGGAATGAATTTTTAATAGTTGGATGCCTTTTACACTTGGAAGGAAAGAGACAAATGCTCTGGACATGTCACAGGATTGGCAATGTTTTTTCTTGAGAAGCCTATAGATCTGCTATAGAAAACAGTAATTAAATTAATTTGCAGATGTTTAAATCTCAGATTTGCAATGCAATTGAAGTTAAGATTTCGTGCCCTACACAGAACAAAGTACAGTTGAAGGAGATGAGGAGTTTGTTTGCATTTGTTATAATATAAAAGGTTTTAAATATAATTCCTTTTTTTAAAAGGGTCAAAAAGGAGAAGTGGGAATGACTGGTGCAAAAGGAGAAAAGGTAAATTAACTCCTTACTTCTGTGCTAGTGTGTGATACTAGAAGGTGGCTGAATGTACTGATTATGAATCAAATCTTAGAAAATATACTCAGTATCAAGAAAATATATTTGAGCATAGGAAAAGCTGTCAGTCTCTGAATATCCTGAGTAATTTACTCAAGCCCTTCCTTGAGAGAGTATTTATGTGTGCAACTAAATTTCCCTGTTCCTACAGCTCACAGAGTCCTTAAGTTTAAACACATTCAGGCTTCTACCAATTACCAGTTTAAAATTATGTTTATATCAGTTTATGACCAGTGATTCTCACAAATTAGACGCCATTCATACTTTTTCAAGTTATAAATGTGATCTTTAATATCTATATGAAAAAAAAGGAGTCTTTAAATTATTAAAATTTACAAATAAAATTCATAATTTATTATATTTTAGTTTAAGTTTAAACTTTCCAGAAAGACTGGGAGGGGGGAAATGTTACTGGGGAATAGGTGTATATTGTGTTTTTCTAGGAATGTGTGACATACCCACTTCTTCATCCACTGAATAACAGGCACTTTGCGGTTTAACTGTTAGGCTTCCAGTTGGTTTCTCTGGTCATATCCCTGTGTATAAACAGTTTTAATAGAGACAGAAACTTTTTTTTACTCTGTCAATGTGACAGACTCATGATTTTGTGTGTTATAAAGCACTTGTGTTGGAGAATTTGTCAGATTTATATGCATAATTCATGTTCCTGACGGTCCCATGTGCTCCTGCTTGAAAAGATCACACATGACATGGTCTTGTCATCAACATCATCCCTCAAATAAAGGTTTGTAGTACATATATATTATATAGATTAAAAAAAAAAAAAAAAAAAAACACAACATTTTTCAAGGATTCTTCACCAAACCCAGACATATGTACTATTTACTATTTGAAATCTGTGTTAACCTCTTCCCTATGTTTCCACAGGGAGAGCCTTCTGAAAAAGGGGACAAGGGAGATCCAGTAAGTATAGCTATGTTCTGAACTCATGATGTGAATAATTTATGTTTGATACGATTTTCATACTGTATTCATGCTGTAATTCTTTTCTTTGTACACTTTCATTAGATTCAGTGATTATGTAAGATAGCATATGTATTGTCTCCTTACATACATCAAGTTCACACAGGTCATAAATAAAAAACAGAGATGCCCTGTTTTTCAACATTTCTGTAGTTGGTAGAGTCCATGAATTAACTTTAAAGTACATACTTTTTTGTTCCCTGAAAGTTCTTTTTTTCTTTCCGTTATTTCACAAAATTTTATGTGGGATGAACTCTGTTATTTTAACTGTCTTACCAATTTCTAGTGTGGCATTTAACATCAGACAGTTTTCTTATAGCCATTTTATGTGTGCATAATTTTTTTTGTTGTTTTGGGGGTTATTTTCAGAACACTCATTCTGTAATAGCTTGTTTACGTGTGTTCCTTATTTTTAATTAACTGTTGTCCTCTCTTATGACATTTGACAAGAGCTAGTTATGTTGTTTAATACACAACTGAAGGTTGCTCAGGTACTTGTGATTAACATATTATAACCAAAATAAGGCATATTGTAATAACGTGTGGTTTTGGAGATGAATGCTGTGTCACCAGTAGAGATTTAGTGGTAAAGAATAGCCTTTAGAATGGAGAAGCTCTTAAGCAAATGTGTTTTCAAACATTTTTTTTAAAAACCCTAGGAAAACCTGCAAACAGAATTAGTTTGAAAGAGGAATGCCTTTCAGAGTTTGTTCAAGGCATCATAAATTCTTTAATGCTTTCTCAATATTTATTAAGTTTACAAACTATATTATAACATTTTAAGGTAGCAAATTAAACTCTTACTTGATCTTAGTTAAAATTTTAGCTTCTTATGGTTGTACTTGCTGTTTCCAGGGTGAAACTGGAATGGAGGGATCAAAAGGAAATAAGGTATTTTTTGATTTGTGCACACTTTATACATCATTGGTGTATATAGCTGATACTGGGAGGTGTAACAGTATTTTTTTTTTATTTTTTATTTTCTCAAACAATATTATTAGGGTGAAACAGGAGACCCTGGACCACCTGGTCTTATTGGAAATCCAGGATCAAAGGTAGGTGAAAGGTATTTTTGTGGTATTAAGAGCCATTACATTCTATGCTGTTGCATAAGAGGACTCTGAATGCTATCAACTCTTTAGCTAGTATTAAAGGGCAGAGAATGCAAATAGTCTATATCAAAAGTTTGTGCATGGATCATGGCTATTTTGGTTCATAAAACTCTCATTGATCTCAGCATCACTCAGCAAGGAATTTTTTTGCAAAGCTCAAATGTTATTTGGCCACTCAAGAATATGAGCACCCATTTTGCAATTACAACTCCACCAGTAGCTGGGTGTATTCTCTTTATCCATGAGCGAGGCAAGGGATAACCACTGCCAGTACATTAGCAGGTCCTATGTTTAATCCTGTGAGACTGCAGGTAATGTCAAAATAGTCATTGCCTTGCTTAGAAGAAAGTAACTGAAGCACAAATATTCTTGAGAATCTCTCATGATCCCTTGAATTGTATCAAATAAAGTAGAATTGGAAACTGTGAAAATGTAACCACTATTCCACCCAACACTATTCATGTTAGATATGATAGTACCCACAGTTAGTTCCTTAGTTCATCAGAAGTCCCAGGGCAAATAGGTGCAGCTATAGGATCCACAAAACTGTGGTCTTAAAAGTTATTCTCCACTCTAACTCCTTTGACTGCTTTTTGGAAGCTAATGTCCTTCCTTGCTAGGAGCTACTCAAATAATTGTTGTTACTGCAGTGGAAATCTAGGTCACCTTTACACTGTATGCCTTCCAGAAGAAGCTCACAGAGATCCAAAGGATTATTAGGATTTGCACCAAGTCATCTTTTTATCTCTACATCTCAATCCCCTTTTTTTTCAGTGCTCTGGAGTCCTTCTGATGAAATCTGTTCCAAAAAAGAAGGAACACTTACCACATAGTTAAAAAATCACTTCTAGATCTGTCCCTTGAAGGAGGGAATCTTGTTTTTCTCCTGTTTTTTTGTCTTTCCTTTTAGGTAGTTCCCTTGTATTTGCTTGTATTTGATTTGTATACATAATTTGGATTTTGTAAGTATCAGTCCCAAAGATTTATTGGACTAAATATTAAACAAAGGGAGAATGAGCAAACTCTGTACTTCTTACTCCATGTAGAAGATAATTCTTAATGCTAGATGTTTTCATCCGTTTACATATGAGAATGCTTTACACCAAATTACAACAGGTGTCTTGACTTTTATCTCAAGTGTATATTATATCATTTCACAGGGACTGCAAGGACCTCCGGGACCTGTCGGACCCAGGGGACTGCCAGGAGAAGTTGTATGTATTGTGCGGTTTCACCAAGCTGTAGAAGTGTGGTGTGTGAACAGTTAGCCAGTGAAGCAGTACAACAGAAGTTATCATAGGGGCTTCTTCTGTGGGTGGTACTACTATAGCAGTCAGGTGTTGAAGCCTCAGGGTAGAGTTGTGCCATTTGCTGATGTTATTTTTGTCCTTGTGTTACTGTCTGAACAAGGAAGAATAGTAATACTAATTTGTCTGATTCACAGATAATTTGCTCTACAAAAATCACTCTTATCTCACAGGAGCAGGTGAAAATTTAAAAAATATCTGTCAAAGCTTTAATAAAGTTACATTGTGAGCTGGAGAGAACAGTGTGTGTGGAGATAAATTAAAAGAAACATGGAAAGTAAGAGTTCCCATGGTATTTAAACACATGGCCTTCCTTATTTCTGTCAGTGGTTTTGTATTATTTTGAATTGGTTTACTGCCTGTAAAAGGGGTAAAGAATAATAAGGTGAACAGAATTAACAATTATGTTTATTAACTTAGAATTTAGGTCAGATTTATGAGTAAAACTGATATTCAGAGCAAGACATAATTCCATTAAAACTAGAGACAATATTAAAATCTCCAGGCACAGACACCTGAGTCTGTTAACTGTGAGCAGCTGCACAGCACAAACCAAGACAGCTTGCTGCCCAGCCATCCTGGATGAGCAACACTCTCCCTGCTGGAAAGTGAAGTCAGGTTTCAGTAGACATAATGCTAACAGGGGAACGAATGAGAGTGTGAGATAACCAGGAAGGGGAAAAGCTCTCATTAGTGGCTCTTAAATAAACCCTGATATCCAGATCCACTACGGGCTGTCAGAAGCACTAAATGGATGGGTTATTGAACCTCGAGATCATGGCCTCTTTAGGGAGACCCTCCAGGAGAAGTGGGCGAGATGGGACGCCTGACCAGAGATGTGGTGTGCTCGTAACCTTTATGCCTGTGGGTTCCAAACTGATGGGTTGGGATTGCTGAGGCAGTGGGGGGATCTCAGCAGAATTTTGATATGCCTGCAGTTATTACACTTTCGAGTGCACCACATTCAGGTCTGCCAACTGTTTGGGGTTTGTCAAGGTGATGGGGCCTCCTTCATGAGGGTTTTAGTGTGTTTGTAATCGTTATGTTGCTAGGCAACAGACTGATGGGTTGTCAGTTGGGATCCCTCAGACTGGTAGGGGCTTCTCTGGAGATTCAGTACCCCCATAACTCTTGTGCCTCTGGGCAGGAAGAGCATGCATGTGTCACACCCCACCTGGGGGGAGGGAGGTATGTGACTCAGATTCACAAATTCTCTTCATTGTGGACTGAAGTGAGATAACGCTCAAGATCCATACTTAAGTATCAACTTTAATGGAAAGAAATATTCTCTAAATGTTGGCACTTTCACAACTATATCTGTCTAAGCTATGCGGCTTTGTGGGAAAATCAAGGTCCACCTTGCGTTACTTAACAATTTTAACCACTACTTAGTAGCTTTAAGTTTACTTAGAAAAGAAGAAAAGGAGAGACAGAGAGAGAAAGAGATCACTAGTCCTGGATCCAGCATTGGACCTGCCAGCAGGGCTGTTTGGTGCAGAGAGTCCCCTCTAGACTCACACATGCCCCTATTCATGGCTCCAGCTCCTGGACTTCTGGAACTTTCTCTTGCCCCAGTTCCAGGAGTGATTGAGACACCAATCAATCAAGAGAAGTGACACCAGGCCCCTCTCCATTACTCACTTCTGGTCTCCCCTCTCAGGGCATTGCCTGGGCTCACAGTAGAGTCACCTGGGGCTCGTCCCTTACAGAGTGAAACTTCAATCCAGTCTGAATACTCTAGGAAACATTTTAAATTATTAGGCACCATTATACTAAATTTCAAAGTTCTCTGGGCATTTGACTTGACAACCTAATATAGCAGAAGGCCTCTTCTGATGAGGTGGCTACCTGCCTCCCTTCCAAATTATGATGCAATCCCTTTTTAGGTGTGCAGGCAACTATGTTCTGCCTAACCCCTTGTGTAAAATGAAACTAGGTTTAGGTCCAAAACCGTGTTGTCACGTATCCTAACAAGTGACACCTCCTCCCTCTCCTTGGTTCTCCTTCCTCCATAAAATATAAAATGGTTTTTCAGTACCGTTTTGGAAGCTCGAGTGGTTAGATGCAAGAAATGGACCAAGAAGGTCAGCGGAGAACTGGGATTTTGAGCTTTGCTCTGTGGATTGGTTTTGGATTTTATTTTATTTCTACAAACAGAGGCATCTAGAAGCTGGTGTTGCTGCATTTTGTCTTGGGCCTTTCCACACATGCTCTGAGACTACTTTGTAGAAGGGAACTCTTAATTTGAACAGACTTTAAAGTCATTTACTTTATTAATATTAAAATACAGTTCTGAGTGGTACACAGCTGGCAAACTTGTTATTGTTGACGTGTTAAAAGTCTTAGGGATATAAGCAAAGTGACAGCTGGAGTACAGTATTTTCAGCTCCTGTCAGGGAAAAAAAAAAAAATAGTATTCAAATCTGCAGGTCATCATTTTGTACTGTGTTCCTTATTGACCATTCTTTTATACCTTTTATATTTTCCTACTCTGTTGAGGCACACATTTTTTAAATTGTGTCTGATTTGCTTTCTATAACAATAGTTTGTAAGCCTTTTCTGCTGTGCTTCTATTTATATATAGACCAATCTTATTGTGAAAGATAACAAAATACTGCATTTCTGTTTTGCTTGTGTTACTATCATCTCACTTGAGTTCATAATTGCTGCTTTTGAAACTGCTGTTCTGCTGGATCTTTGATCAAGTAACATCATGAGCAGATAAATACTTTATATATGTAGATCCTAGATATAGATGATCTTGAAGACTCATATTTGTACACACAATTCTAGTATACAAAAACATATATTTAAACATATTACAGAAACATGTATTTAGTTCCAGGCTTGTTATTTTCTTTTATCTTCTGAAGATTAAATATTATGAATTAACAAATATAATGATTCATCTTATGCGGCATGAGGAAAATTATAAAAGGTTGAAAATTGTTTTACTTTCACTTACATCATCAAAGAGTCATCCAGCAGATAATACTTGCTTTTTTCCTTTTCTGATATCTAAAAAAAGAAATAACTGGAGAAATCCTTAGGATAGAAGATAGACTGTATATGTTTTATGTCAGTATCAAAACGGGATAGGGTGGGACACGATGTCTGATCCATAATCAGTAAATTTAAAATTCCATATATTCTTATAATGGTTTTATGTTGGTGTAAGCAGAATGTTCTTCATTAAGGTATTTTTTTTTTTTTCTTATGCTTTTAATTTGGATGTCTGGGTGAAACAAGTAGCTGTCTGTCTGTATTAAGGACAGAATACAGCAGAGAACATGCACCTTATGAACCCTCACTATTGGCATGAAAATACTGTCTTCCTTCATATGTCAGTACTCACAAAACTATATTTTACACTGCAAAGAAAAATAAAAACAATATGTGTTTCTATGTCTTTTTCTTAGAAAGTTCATTTTCTATTCCAGATTAAGTATCATACTTAGACTTTTCTATTCAGTTTTGGCAGTTTTGTCATATTCTGTGGAAATTACTGGTATTCTTAATAAAATGCTTGTTACAATAGTTGGTTGAATAGAATTGAAGGGTTATGGAAAAAGTTTTCTGTATTTGTTAAAACATAGTAAGAGAACACAATTTAACCTTCCCTATTATTTAAATAGTTTCTTTATAGATTTTAATCTGTTTAATTTCTCTGTATTCATAATGAATCCTTCATGAAAAGGGCAAGGGAAAATACTGAAGTTAAAATCAAAATGTGGAAGGTGAGAAGATTTAGACAAAAGAAAGGTTGGAATATATTTATTTGGCTGAAAATATTTATACATTAAAACATTTTAAATGAATTTGGTGGATTAAGTAATGTGCATGAGTAGGAATTCACTGAGGCTTTTAAGATAGAGATTTGAATAATTACCTATTGTAGGAAATCATGTAGCCCTTCATATGGAAAAAAAGAAGAAACACTTATTTAAAACTCAAGTTTGTACCTGCTACGGTCTTCCTTGAAAAAATTACTGGTTTTCAAGACTTGGAATTATTTTGAAATTGAAGAAATAAACCTGTCAGTCTCTGCCATTCTGCCTTGATAGGGTCCAGAAAATATTCTTGATTGCACCATTTCAACTTAATGAAAAACGATGCATATATTTGATAAAAGTACTCTTTAACATTTTGGGTCAATGCTAATGCACAGTAAATAATCCAGTGTAAACTTACTTTCATGTGTAATTTTAGATAATATTTAAGGGAATAGCTATAAAAATGTACAGTTATATTTTTATTAATTCCAGGGTATACCAGGAGAGCATGGAGTACCGGGAAACCCAGGAGTTAAAGGGGACAAGGTAAGTTTTAAGTGTTTTTAATTAAGCTTGATACGTTAGAGCATATTAGACTGTCATCTCTGAAGTAACCTTTCATCCTTTTGGAGTGCATCTGTATGACTCCTTCATTAATTGATTTTAAAATGCACAAGCAGCAACCTGCTGTCTGCTCCTCAGAGATGTTGCAGGCCAATTTGGCACCCCAACTGCTCTTTAGATCCATAATTTAAGTAATATTTCAAGGAGGTTGCATTGGGCTCTTACATTAAATCTGTGCAGTGCAGAAACATCAGTTCAGGTCCTGACCACAGAATAGCCTTTTCAGTGTAGTGTCCTAACCAGACTAATGTGTCAAATCCCAATTCACTGTCAGGCATAGTCATCTTGGCAGAGCACTGGGGCAGATACACTGTCTCAGGTATGAACCAAGGCTGGGATCTCTTTATGGCATTGTATTTTGCTGTGTAGAAATCCCTTAGTTAGAATTCAGCTACATCGGCAAGAGTTAAAAATGGTATGTGTGTATATGTTGAATGTAGAGAAGGGGAGAAAAGAGGACATACAGGCATACTGTGAGATATATGATGTGTTATGGTATTTGTACAGTGTGGGGTACAAGGGAAACTAATAAAATCCATTAATAACTTGAAGAAGTGAGCTGATGAAAAGGGAGAAGGAGAAAATAACTGGAAGAGTGACAAAAATGTGCTTGTCTTGCTAAATGGGAAGTAGTGGATTCAGAAAGAATCACAGAGACTGATGCAGGAGTGTGTAAAAGCCAAGATAACAGAAAGAATAATAAAACAAATTCACCTGTGTAATCAGGAGGAGTTGTAGAGATGTGAAGCAAGAGACACTGCATGCATAGAAGTAAAAAATAGAGGTGTAAACAAGAATACAGTGAAGACCAGAGTTTTAATACTAGGGGTAGGTAGCTGGAGAGAAACAGTTAGAAGCTGTTACTATGAGTTAATTGGCGGGGTTTAATGACAACCTGCATATTAGGGACCTGGGGACAAAGAAATGTAGATCAGACGCATTGCAAGCATGGAAACCAAGAGAGTGCTAGTTACTATTAGTGGTTGTGTGGTCCATGCCTCCTCTTCTGTAACTCTTTGAAGGAAAACACAGGGGATTTTTTCTTCTCTATTTCTTCTCAAAGTAGTGGCACTTTCTAGGGTAACCTTGATAATATTTAGAGTTATTTCATAAGAGAAAATTCTCACATTTCAATTAGTGATTCGACTTTATCCTGTAGGGAGACCCTGGTGGGATTATGGGACCACCTGGTCATCCAGGTCCAAAAGGTGATGTTGGGCCTCCTGGACCAAGTCTGCCTGGAACACCAGTAAGTCCATAATCTGAAAAAGCTTTTATGACTTTATTTCTTGTAGGAACAACTGTTAAAGAATTCTCATTGTATAATGACAGAAATCAGAACAAGTTTTTTTTTGGATGTAACTTCAAAATTGAAATATGTGTTATAGTGATATCTTAAGTGCACTAAAATATAGTCTAGAAATAGTGCAACACTCACACATGCTCCTAGTGACAGTGGTATTAACAAGGAATACATATGTAAATCTGTCATAGTTTATTTATAAAGGCTGACTAATTCTGGCAGTAAAATTCAGCTAGCGTCTTTGATTTCAAAACACAATTTGTTTTTTTCCCTTCATTTTTTCTTTTTTTTTTTTTTTTTTTTGGTAGGGTCCCACTGGTATTCCTGGAAGCCCAGGTCCACGGGGACCAAAGGTATAAAAAATACATTATTTGTTCCTAAAAAAAAAAGAAAAAGAGTAATGTGCTAGCTTACATTTTCAGATCTATTATAACTGAAAGCCTTGTACCCTTCTCAGGGAGAAAGAGGACTACCTGGTGTACAAGGAGCACCTGGGGAGATGGGGCCTCCTGGAATAGGCATTCAGGGATCACCAGTAAGTATAACAATGCTCAGAATTTGGGCTTCTCACTGCACATTGCTAAGAAACTGCAACAAGTGAACAAAGAATAGGGAAAAAACATGCCATGAACTCCCTTCTGACTCGACTCCCAGCAATTTTCCCTTTATCCAGACCCAGAAAAGTCTAGTGCTAAACGGAAGCTTCTAGTGCTGAGAGAAGTGGAAGCCCTGGAGAATTGGAAAAATCAACGGCCACTTTACAGATGAGCTTCCTAGTGATGGTGTTGAGACATACTCAATCTGTATCTGTTTCTAAGAAGCAAGTGTTTGAGGTTGTCATCAAAATCCAGCCTGAGAGTACTGGTACAGTAGAAGAGGTATAGCTGACACTGTAGATGATGGCATTTTGAAATCCAGGCTGGTACTGGAAAAAGGCAAATACACGTGGAAGAGATGTGGAAGGCTTTGCATCAGCTCCTAGCTTTTTGCATTTGTGATGACTGCTCATTACGAGCTTAGGTCTACTGCTTATAAATGAGAACCTTACAGTGACAGGTGCTATGCCAGGAAATAGTAAAGCCCTGATTTTGCACAGCTTTCTTCATGAATTTCTGTGCAGTTTAAATTCAGACATGAAGTAAGTTGATGCAGTGTATCTAGACCATTCATGCTAAACTTGTATAGTTATAACTGTTTCAGTTATTCAGCTTGTTTCCTAGGTTACTTTCTTCCTATTGCCTTTAAATAAAGCCATCTGCAGTGTCTTTGGAGTATTCAGTAAAAAAAACTGATTATATTGATGGTGTAGATGGTAGGTGGTACATGTTATTATATGAGTTATACTGTGGTGAATTGGGAATCTCTCTTTAGTCCAGACCAATATAGTCAGCTGATACATTTTAGTTTATTGACAGGACTCAGGTACAGAGAGAAAATGTTTGAGAAAGGTGTCTAGAGATTCACTGAGATTTTATCCTTAAAAATAATCAGTTAAAATATTTTCAAATATGATTTTTTAAAATTACCCATTTATATTTAAATAAACTAATTTGGTTTTATTCAATTGAACATCAGCTTTTATTATGAATCTCCTGGCTAAATAGCAAGTTTCACCACAGATCATTATTCTCTGGTATTACTTGCCCTTAAAAATGGGCCTCAGCAAAATCTTAGGTCTCTAATTTTGGCAAAACTAGATTTGGATTTAAAGCTAAACATTAGAGCAAGTCTTTCTTGCAGTGTGAACTGCACCAATATCCCATACTCAGTATTTTTTTGTAAAGTTCATCTCCCTTATCCCAAAAAGTGTAACTATTGATTACTTGGAGTTTTCTTGCAGGGTCCTATAGGTCCAACTGGATCAGCAGGTGTGCAGGTAGGATATAAGATTTCTCTTTAATATAAAGAACCCATTAATTTATTTTAAGAAGTTTACATTAAAATAAAAATATTCTTAAATCCTAAATGAACTTTCCTGCTCTTAGGGCCCTAGAGGACCCCCAGGATTACCAGGAACTCCAGGTACCCCTGGTATTAATGTAAGTGACAGTTCTCTGTATATACAGCAAAAAGTAATGTGTCCCTTGTCAATGGTTTAAGGTCAAATTTTACATTTGTTTCTAGGGCACTCCAGGAAGGGATGGAAAGCCAGGACTGCCAGGCCCTCCAGGTGATCCTGTACGTATACATAGAAACCTTGTGCATTTGCTGTGATGCAAATATTTTAAACTTAAAGGAGCAAGTCTAGAAGTCCAATTGATAAAATTAATTTGATTTTTCAGCTGTTATATCCTTTGGTTTTGGGTTTTTTTGTTTTTTTTTTTTTTTTACTTGATTATATTGCAGTATAAATTAAACTTACTTTAACATATATAGGATAAATACCTTCTTTTCAGGTGTTACAGTTTGTATACTAGAGTTTCTGTGGGACTATAACTTGGCATAGTGTTCCTCAGTTTCAGAAGTCGTTTTGTATAATGCAGATTTTCAGGAGCATACTTTGATAATCCCTGTTAAAAGATGGAAAAGTTTGGAGATTCCAAAGCTAATTTTGCTATGCCACAAAAAGATGTTAATTTTTAACGAAATCCTGAGAATAGTTAGTCTCTAATGGAATAAATTCCCCTTAGCACTAATGAAAAGTTAAGTGGCTGGGTTTGAAAACAAAAACACTAAATAAATTCTGAAATTCTGATTCTTCACCACACTTCAGGGATTATCATCTCATCTCATCTCGGGTATATATTACAGAAGTGTTTTTTATTTAACTAACAATGCCATGGCCTTACAGATTTTGTGAAGTCCAGCACTTCACAAAGATTCAAAAACCTGCACATGCCTCAGACCAAACTGTACCCTTAAAGATAATTGATTATTTTATATGGGATTCAGGAGAGTCCAATGTGCATATCTGCAAAATTGTCCTAAAGGCAAAACTTCAGTCGTTACTCCTTCTTCTGTCTGGAGTCCCAACAACTACCTTAGAGCTTTCAAAAAGCAAATTTCTTTTTAGAGACAAATGCTTACAGAGGCTTTTATGACATCAGATGAAGCTTTCTGAATTCCCTGAGTGGTTGTTCAGTATAAATAAAATACAATAATATAAATTAAATAAATAAAAATCTGTAAATGATTGGAAGAAACAAACCAAAACCAGAGATCAAAAAAAGATTGTTAAACTCCTCTGTGATCCTATTGGTTTTATAGTATTTGATATTTCCCATGAAATTTTAGTCAAAGGCACAGTTTTCAAAACAACAGAGACAGTGATAGTAGTATTTACTTGAGACATATCAAAGCAAATTAAAATAAAAATTACAAAACCTAACATTTGAACTGTATTATGTCCTTTAGCAAAATCTCTGTTCCCTACCAAGGCATGAATTTGGCTTTTTAGCTGAGTAGAGTATCTCGGTGGTCTGAGCCTGTTCATCTCTTAAACTATCAGTTCTTCACATACCTGACCATTGCACATATTCCTCAGATGCAGAGGCTTGCATCATGTCTTATGAGTGAGGTCCATCTCCAAGTGTCCAGCAATGCAAATCCAAGGTAGGGTTTCTCAAACTAGTCTGTGGGCTGCTGATAGAGATTAGAAGTGCTCCAGAGCTGCTGCAGAAATGCATTAAGCAATAAAAGATACCGTGCTTTTAGTTAAACGTTTGATGGTACAGATACACAGCAGTCCCCGAGCAAACCTGAGGACTGACAGCAAGGAGCTTATGGAAGGATAAACTAGCCTCCAAATCACAGAAAGGTTTTGTCTTGGAGACAACAGTCAGCTTTCTCCAGAGAAGAGCCTGGAATGTACTGTTGATTATCAGGGATCAGGATGGTGATTCTGATCAGTTGCTTCCTTGTTTCCTGCATTAGTGAATTGGTCCACTTCTTTAAGGGACACTTAAGAGTATTAGTAGCTCCTCAAAGGCCTAAAATCAGTATGTAAAAGCAGGTCTATCACTGGCATTGAGTATGAAGGTAGAACTCAAGTCAGAAGGCCACAAAAATGGAGATATAAAATGCGGTTCAGTTAGGCACTGTGAATACAATTATTTGAAAGACCAGTAAAGACTATTATTTAATAATCATGGAGATCAAACTATAGATTGTGAAGAGAAAGCTGAATAATTCAGTGGCTTTTCACTGTCCACTGAAAAAAATTGCTTTTCAGAGAATACATAAAATGAATTTTAATTAAAATTTAATCAAAAAATGAATTGGTTAAAGAGGGTTTAGATGAGGCATGAGGATCTGCTGTAATTGAGCCAAAGAATGAACCAAAGCAGTCTCTAAATGATTAGCAGTTTCCCTTGAGAACTTTGAGGAAGATGCAGCTTTTGAGGAAGAGAGATGCTAACAGAAAACGTATTTTCATAAAAGGTGAATAGAAGAGGAACCAGAGTATAATATGTCAGTTGAAAAAAAGTTTGGTTGCAATAAAGTTATGAAATATTTTTTTTAAAATTCAATTCTGAGTACCAGTGATATGAATGGTAAAGTGGAAACACAAGATCACGTAATTTTGTTAAGAATCAGTCATGGAACAAATCAGATTTCTGTCTTCGGAAGGTTAACTTTCTTGGGAAAGACAGGGAAACAGTCAATTTATATACTTTGGCTTCAGTAAGACTGAGACTATTCTCATGATGTTTTTATAAGCAAGCAAAAAATGCTCTTGAAGTAATTACCACATAGTTAATGCTTATCAGAAAATACGGATATTGGTGTCTATCAGCAGATTACTGTCAAACTTGGAAAATGTGTCTCTCATGCCCAGTTCTTTGATTTAATTTGATTAGGATAAGTAGATAGAAATTCTGCAATTGGACTAGAAATGATTGCTAGCTTTTTGAAGATATAATCAAAACTTAATATTCAGAGACAGTCTGAAGTCAACAAGATTAAACTCGAGACAGATGAGCATAAAGTGCTTAATAAGAACAAACAAAATCCATAAGTAGAATAGGTCTGGAAGGCACAGTGCACTGTAAATTAAATGTAAGTTAAAAATCTGATGCCACTGTTAAACAGGCAGGTCTAAATGATGAAATTTACTAACAGGAGAATTACTGCCTTTTGCTCTCTTGAAATATTCCTCTGTTTGGAGGGAATGTTTTTAAAGGGAGATGTAGCAAGCAGGAGTGAGTCTGGAGAGTTAAGGCCATTTTAACATTTTCAAAAGCCCAGCGTATATCATACACTTACTCAGAGTTCAGCATGCACAGCTGTGACATTACAGGGTGTGTGCAGTTGGGCTGGGCTTGCTGTACAGATGGAGCAGGTGAGCTGTACAGGCACAAATGCAGTAAGCCTGCTCTCATACCTGCTGTGCCCTTGCAGAAGGATGTTAGGACCCTGTCGTGGTGAAGGCTTGGGGGCCTGCACCATAAAATTACATTGAAGCTAAAATAAGAATATTAGAAAAGAGGAGAGACTGAGGAAATTACACCTGTGTAGTCCAGCCGAAAGATCAACAGGGGACATAGCAATAGTGTGCCTATCTGAAAAATGTTGTCACAAGGGGAAGGTTGAAAAGTCAGACCACGCAAGGATGTGGTGGTTGTTTTAAAGCCTTGTTACAAGTTTTTAAGAGCAGCTGACACTGTCTATGCACAGTTTACCTTTGTGCAGAGAATGGACTTCATACCTGAATTAGTTACGTCCTTAAATTGTGTTAGGTGGCTATGGCTCAGCCTAGAAAACTTCTCAGCATGCTTTCAAAGTTGGTGATGCTACCCTGTAAATGGTGTACTCCTGATTACACTTACGGTTAAGTATGTTCAGCTGTGCTTCTCTTGAGCTGGTATTTGACACCCATTGCTACCAACTCACAGTTTTTCTAATATGCTACAAAAGTGCTTACATTTTATTTTTCTTCTTCAAGATGGAAATGCTTGAAACAGACTGAACAGACACAGTAAAAAATTTTCAATGTGTCTAGTTTTATAGTATGCCCAGGGCTATTTTTGCTTTAGCAATTGCAAGAAGAAGAAATGAGCATTGGTAACTGAAGGGTCCGTTTGTGAGTGAAGCTGATGATAAGCAATGCAATCAGTTTTTACAGGGAGTCTTTAAATGTAAGTTTAATGGCAGCACTTGGAAATCTGATATATATTGCAGTATGGTGTAAACCTATCGATTGAGCTTTAAATGGGTTAGCTTTAGTATTGGTAGCAATTTAGCAGTGGCACCACAGAGCTTTGCACTAATTCATAATGTTTAAAGGCAGGACAAAATACTACATATGTTGCTCATGTTGCTGTAGCTGGATTATTTCCAGTGCCTGAGCTAGTTTATTGAAGTTAGCTTTGGCATCTCCACAATTCATGCTACAGTTCACAGTTGTCAAAGCCTAGGAGAAAGCAGAAGGAAAACAACTGAAGATAATCAGGTGAGAACAGTCTGTGAGACTTTCCAATAGTGGTAAGTTGTTGCTGGTATGCTACAAAAACAACAATATAGTATTAGTATTATTATTATAATAAAGTGAAATTTACTATGTTCTGGAGTTACGCTGTCCTCATGGTTTAAGGAACTTCCTTGAAACTGTAACAAAGAATTGTTAGATTAGATAGACAGCAATATTTAACTATTTTAAACCCTAATTTTTCTTTTGAGTTTTCATAAAAAAAATAGTTTCAACCAATATATATGTAAACAGCTGTCTGCGGAACAATAGAAACCTTAGAAGCAATGAGAATCCATCAGAATTGGTAGTGTTGTGTAAAACATTAACTACAGCTGCCTTTTTTAATTTCAGATTGCACTGCCACTGGTGGGTGACATGGGCACTGTACTGAAGGTAAACATTTTCAGAGGTTGAATATCTTTGTTTACTATAAACATGCTTTTTAAACCAAAATATGGACTTGAAAGTTTCTCTAGGTTCAATTCTGACCTACTTGGCTAGCCTAAAATAATTTCGAGATTTTTCATGATTTTTGTTCTGTTTTTAAAAAATACTCAGGAAATGTATTTTATAGGAATTTTGCAAAATAATGTCTGAATGGTATGTGAGGTAGTAGCCAACAAGTGCCTGTTGAGCACATCCAGTCCTCAGTATGAATTGCTACAAGTGTATCCCATTCTCTGCTTTACATCGTAGCATTAATAATGATAATATACTGAATGGGGAAAATAATCTAGAATTGCTAAGGTATTATTTTGAAAAACAATAAAATTTGAAGTGATCTGCAGTGTTCCAAAATAAAAAGTATGCTCAGGAGGATTTCAGTATGAAAAGCACACATCATTTCTGATGAGAGAGATTATCCTATTCTACTGTCCTTTATTAATACATGTGCTTAGCGTATATTGACTTTCTCATTCCAAAATTTTATTTCATTGAGGTCTATCTTTGGAATTTTCCCTGATTCCTTCTAATTGTATTGGCTTTGTCCTGTACTCTTCTACCTCTTTGTCAGCTCTCACTGATTCTTTATTCTTCATTCTTAATTTTTCTGTGTTTTGTGGTTTGCACTTCTATAAGATTGCAATTTAGCTGAAAAAAAGCTTCTCTGAACAAAGCAGGAATCATTTACTTTAAAATAACTATAGGTTTGAAGCTGTTGAGAGTAACAAGTAGCCTTCATCTCTGCCTAATCTTTAAAAGGAAGATGGTTTGAGATGAGTCCTCTCAAAATGAAGCTAAAGATTTGTTAGTATGGTTTGAGTAGAATGTGTGAGAGATGGGAAGGGAAACAAGGAAGGATATCTGAACAAGTATGTTGTGTAGAAGAGAGAAAGGGCTGAAGACAAGGCTCTGGGGTAAAATGAAGGGATGGTCACAAAGGCGGGAAGGAAGCAGTCTGAATGGATCAGACCTTCTTCCTGTTTCACAGAAATAGTTGTCACTTCACTTTCTGTGTGTTCCTTAGGGTGATCCTGGCACAAGAGGTCCTCCAGGCATCCCTGGTAGAGAAGGGCCCAAGGTAAGTTTTGAAGAGGGTACTTTACATTACTTTGTTGCTTGTTAAAAGGCCAGACTCTTGCCTCTGACACTCTTGACCTTTTTGTCTGATTCCTATCCCTGTTTTGTCTGAACAGCCTCAAGGTTCAAACAATTTTTGTGGTTCAGCCCTCTTCTGTGTCAGTTTGCCTTTCCTCTCAGGAAAGTGAGCAAAATAGCCTGAGTTGAGTCCCAAGCCAGGGTAGGTCTTCTGTGTCTTGCATCCATTAAAGGTAGCTCAGATTTGACTGTCCAGTGATGCATTGCCATCTATAGGCTTATTTTAGGTGAGTCTCATTCAAGAATCCTGCAGTAAAAAAGGAAACTTCCCATATCTCCCTCAAGTGTGCAACAGCAGACCGTCCTGTGCCTTTGCACCATGTTCCTGTGAAGCAGCCGTTTCACTGGGACTTGAAGTTTCACTGACATTAGTCAGAGTTCTGCTTCACTGTAATTGGATCACGGTTTGGCACGTAGATATCTCCTATAGTTGAGCCTAATTCCATGAAAGTGTGCTTTTTCCATTTTGGCAAGCATTTAAGCTCTTCGGTATTAATGAGATTTCTCCATCAGGTCTTTTGGCTAATTTGCCTACTAGGTCAAAACCACTCATTTCATTTCACCTCAATGGGAGGCATTTTTTAACATTTTCAGGTAGTACTCAGCCTTTTTTTCTGTTTGAGACACTATTGCTATAAGGACTTCATGCTAGCATATATTCAATGTGAGTCATAAAGTGCTCTACAGAGCATGAAATTCATTGTTCTCTAATAGAAAGTATTTGTTTAAATATTATGTTTTCATAGGGGAGCAAAGGTGAACGTGGATTTCCTGGGCTTGCTGGAGAGAAGGGCGATGAGGTAAAATTACTTCATTTGTATAGTGGTTGCATTCTTATCTGAACCTGAATAAAGATCTAGATCGAGAATGACATGCACAGAATGTTATTCAGTTATTTACAACTGCTGAGCTGGTAGCGTATTGCTATAAATAGCCCACGATTCTGAGTTATTAGCAAGATTAAATGCTATTATTCAGTTAAATAATATCTAATTTTTGTCTGAGGATTTTTGCTCATTTGTATACTTTAAAGACATACATTTAAATGATAATTTTCAAGAATATAGGATAGAGCGATAAATCGGCAAATGCCAAATATTTTCAGAAAATATTTCATGTTTTATAACATATTCGCTTTCATTGTGTTAGTTCCCCTTTAGAATTCACTTTCAGAAACATTCCATTAGGCAAATACTCTGATGGGAATGGTCATAGCAGCAATTACTATTAAATAGAAACTGTAAAATGTTTGAAGAGACTGAATTTAAAATATTTACAATATTTTGCATTGTATACTGCATTCTTACAGTTATTCTTATGTCATTATGGAGAAGGAAAAAAAGCCGCATGACTTGTGGTGCTAAATCCAAAACAGCTGCTATAGCTTTCATTTTGAATTGAAATATTTGCAGTTAACAGTTCAAGAGCAATCTTTGCCCCCCCCCCCCCAAAAAAAATCACAAAAGCAGAAGCTATTAAGCAAATTAATATGAATAAATAAATTAATCTCCTAGTGACCTTAGCCAGCTGAAGGAGTTAAAATAAGTAGTCTGTTACAAAATATTTGGTGAACACTTCAAAATTCCAAAATACTTAAATGGCACTGTTAAATACATACTACTCTCTTATAATTTGGGACTTCTGGCTACAAGAGAAAGCACCTAAAAAACATGAAAGAAATTTAGTGCTTATTGATTGAGGGTTTTGTAATTCTTCATGATTGTTTTACATTTCTTTGGTGCTAAGGCAATAATATAGTAAGAATTTTCAAACAGTACTAGAATGAGAATAATTTTCAAAAAAATCTATGTTCATCAGGATCCTTGGCTTCCAAAAGTAAAGTTACACAAGTAAAAAAAAAAAAAAAAAAAAAAAAGATGTAGCAGAAGCATTAGATTCCTGCTACTGCTTTGCCCCAGAATTTAGCAGATTGTCAGACTGAAGTATCATGTTTCTTTCTCCTCTTGGTTTACATGATCTGTAGGGCTCATTATGTCTTTGCTTCTTAAAAGCAAATGTCTCCTGAGGTTGGATTTAGAACATATACTTCAAAATGATGGGGCAGCCATAAGCAAAGGCCAAGCAGAATTTTGTTTAAAAAATAAATGGGAAAGTAACAAATCCTTCATGTGCCGTATAGGGTACCTCTACAAGTTAACCCTAGCAGTCTGAGGCATTAGCAAAACAATTTCAACAATTTGGATACTATTTAACTGCTGAGAATCAAGTGAGAGATTAGAGGCAATGAAGAAGGTAATAGGGGAAAGGCAAGACTGTAATTGGTAGTTAGGTTTTTTTTAAAGGACTCCATAGTAAATTAATTCTATTTTTTTTTTTTATTGATTTAGTAGGGTGCTATGCTGTGTTAGTGAGTTAGCTATTCACATGCTTCTTCACTGTTTGATAGCTGGTTAGCTACCTCAGCTCTGATATTTTCAGTGTTCAGCAGCAGCTTTTGATTATGACATTGAGGGTGCAAGTGAATTTATTTTCAGAAACACATATGAAAGAGTTTACAAAGTTTAAAAGTAACTTTTTTTACAAATGCATTTATTTTCATTTTTATGATTTGGTTAGCATGGGAATGGAAAGAGAGATTGAGAAATCTACCTGAAGCTCTTTGAAATATGCTTATTAATTTCCACATGCTTTCAAATAGCCCTTTAATCTTTGTTGAAGCTTAGTTCTCTTCCTTTTCAAAACATTCCTTTTATTCAGGGGAGGATTTTTCTAACATTGGTAATAAGAATTACAGAAAACATTCCATTGGCTTCATATTAATTTTCCAGGTGACTGTACCATCAAAGTACTTCAGAATGAGCAGAGAACACATTAGCAGTTGGATTGCCACTCTGAAAGGCTGCACTCATGGATCAATGTCCTCTGTGTGTAGGAGCAAGAAAGGGAAATTGATGTGTCTCTCCATCTCCACATCTTTCCTGATTTATTTCTGTCTGAAGTTTTTCCTTCAGTCTCTCCACCAGAGCCCCTGTTTCAGGGCTCCTGTCCTCTGGATTTTTAGACTAATCCCTTAGCCATGCCTTCTTAAACAGTGCATTTAACAGAAATACGCCTCTTCTGAGGTGATTCCTCTTGTCAGAGGATAGGCACCTTGCACAGATCAAATTAATCACTGCTGGGAGGGAACTATTTCCCTTCATGGATTATAGGGGGAACTGAGAGCAATTATCTCTCATTAGTACATGACTTTTACCTGTCTAAAATTGCACCTAAGCCTGATGTGTTAGAGGAGAGATTTCAGTGACATGCAGGCTTGTATCAAATCCCACCTTTATCCACTGTAGTAAATTGCACATCTGTATATTTAGTAAGTGGTTAACAGAATCTATCAGTTTCCAGGCAATCAAATAGAATAAGAACAGGAAAGTAGGTCATTAAATACTATGAAAAATGTCATGTTCCATTACCAAAAAAACCAGAATCTATAAATTGGGCAAAATGCATCACTGGGTTTAGTCACATCAGTTAACATTTAGTTATATCAGGTAACATTGAGAAGTCTGAGTAGATGTCTTCTCACCAGCAAAAAAGCCTTTTAGTGTTAGAAAATAGAAAATTAATCTCTAAGGAAAAGCCAGATATCCTGCTCTTACCTGCACAACTAAAGACAAAAAGATATACAGGACATAAGCTAACAATGTAAAAGTTTGAAGGACAAGTATTGTTTATCAGTCAAACAAAAAGTTGCCTCTAATCTTATTCAATGATAATCTCTTCCCTGCATGATGGGGGTTTTTTTTCATCCCTAAAAATAATACCAACCTGTTAGATGAAAATGTGCTTTAATATAGTTATAATACTGCTGGATATGCTGACTATAAGTAGTTTTTGAAATAAAACTGGGAGAGGGAATAAGAAATATGGTCTTTTAATTTCCAGGGCCTTCAAGGTGCTCCTGGACTGCCAGGCATACCAGGACCCAGTGGACCATCTGTAAGTGTGTGGGATCATCTGTGATCTAATGTATCTCTGCAGAGGTTGCTATAAATATCTAGTAAAACATCATATTCTTAGTTTCTTATCCTTTCTTTCAGCTTTTAGGAGAGCAATAATAAAATCTTACCCGTATTGGCTCTAGTAAAAGAAACTATGTTATGACTTGGTGTTACTGAAAATACTGTCATTGTCTGGGCTCAAAGTTCATGTAACTTAAATGGATTTGGATTTTTGGCATTACTAGAGACTCTGAGATTACATGATTTATGATGTGCAAACTTGGAGTTAATATTGTATTTGTACCCAGTAAAAATCTAAAAATAATTTCAGCTAAGCATTCTGAAAACATTTAATGCTGAAACCAAGTAATCACTTGATTTCACAATAAAAAAGTATGAAAATAAACTGGCAGTATTTAAAGTCACTGAAAAATATCATTAAAAATGTTGGTATTTCTGGGAAAACTCTTGGAAATTTAAAAATTTTATTTTCTACATACTGTGTGGGATCACATTAGTATCATCATTATTCATTCCTAGGTTGCTACACAGTACTAATGCTTCCCTTGTTTCAAAATTGTAACACATTTAGGAAGTTTAATGTAGAATATGTAAATTTGCATTTTAGCAGTGAAGCATGATTGTTAGGAGTATCAAGAGGTACCAGTCAAGGTCAGCGCATTTAGTCTGGCAAGGTGAAAATGCAACCACAAACACAAGTTTTGCCCTTCAAAGATCTTATTCAGGAGGACACAGCTGTTGCATCAAACAGAACAGAAATATTTAAACCTGGAGGAGAAGCATAATTAGTTTTAAATGACCTTCAAAACAGTACAAGTTTTAAAAACTAAGCTGCAATGTGAAAATACTGTGTTTCATTGTTTCTTAACTAATATAAACTGATACTGTGTTGTGCAGGGAGTCACAGGAAGACCTGGACATCCTGGTCCATCAGGGTCAAAAGGCGAAAAGGTATTCATTCCTTGTCTTGGTAAAGATCTGTGGAGATTTTGCAATCCTATTATGCTCCTATGTTTTGGGTTCTCTTTTAACATAGACTGCAAACAAGAACTTGATGTACATTTTCGAATTAATTTTTATTTGTGTCTTAATACAAGTGCTTTCCCCAAACAGTGCTGTACATACGGGCTTAAATTTTGAAGCTTAGTCCTTGTGGTGTATGTAAGTTGCAGAGAATGTTCTCTAAGTATTGCCATATTATATAAAATTTAGGAAAGTGAAAATACACTTGTGAAATAGTATATTCCTAGCTACTACTTGTTCTGCTTCTCATTTTTTTACCAGTACTTTAGTTAAAAGTAACTGCATGCTTTAAAAGTGCTTCACGAGTACTGAAAGTTATTGAATATAGGTGATTCTTCAAAAATATATGTTTCCTTTATACTTAATTTACACTGTTATAGCACTGCTTTTTATCAGTGTTTTATGTGCTCTTTTATCAGGCACTAGGAATTATCCATTGTAACTAAGCTGTTCAATTCATTTCTTGGGCACCTCAGATCAGTGAAATACAGCAGACACAAACTTAGTTTGCTGCAAAGTACTTTCTGGGACAAGTTTGCCATTTTCTATATGAATACACTTTTCTGAAGTTTTTTTTCAGCTTTAGCCTGGCATTTTCCAGGCATAGCACTGCCATGTCAAAGTATGTGATTCTGCTAATACTCTACAAAACCTTGACTCTGATATGAGTAAGAAAGGAAACTATTCTGTAAAGCTTTAAAATTATTTCAGTATAAAAATTGATTGAAAGCTGCATCCTTGCAGACCATAACAGTAAAAATTGACCACCCTCACTTGCTTTTTATGTAATCAAGAACAAAACACAGCTCCTTGTTTACAATTTACACACAGGTGGGAATGAGAAACCACTGCTCTATAACTAGTGTCTCATCGATCAAAAAGGGCAAAAGTCAGATGGCTGAAGAGTGATGAAGTAAGCTGAAGTATAGCAAGAGTAATTTCCTCCTTCCTTCATCTGGGGAACATATTTGAGAAATGATCATATAATATGCTTTCTAAAGTTGAGTATTTTCATTCCCTGTGAAATACTCAAAATCGGTCTTAGAGGCTGACAGTTTCTATGAATTAGCAGTCTCATTTAGAAATTATCCTAGTGTAAACATTTAATTACAATTATATTTTTCTGGTGAGCCAGTTACTGCCATTGAACACTTAGCTTGATTTTTGTCACCGTAATAATTTTAAATATGCAGCCTAAGTGTCTCACTAACATATATTTAAGAGGATCCAGCAAAGTCAGTAAAAACTTCTGGCAGACTTGTTCCAAATTATACATTGTTTTTAAGTGAATTGTAGTGATGATATTTTCAAAAGGTCTTATTTGAGAAATTTGATCTTGAAACCTTTGTAACTGTATACCATTCAGAGACCCCACTATTCTGCTGGAGCAAAAACTCAGAAGCTTTTTGTTTAAATATAATCAATTCAGTGCACATCAGCAGAACAGACTACAGATACAAGTAACCACAGACTAATATTTTACAGTAAAAGCCCAAAAGATATGCATTATGTCTCTTATTAAAGAAGATCTTTATTTTTATTCAGTGTGTTTCTAAATAAGCTGAGCTTCTGAAACTGTAGCTCTTCTCTATTTACCGGTGAATGATCGACTGAGGTTTGGCTTTTGCAAAATAATATACAAAATGTAAAATTAATGATAACTTTTATCTGCCAGTTGCTTAGAAACTGATATTAACAACCCTTTTTATTTTTTCTTCCTCTCCCTCCTGGTATATATGAAGTGTTTCACAACCCAGATTCCCACTACTATTTAGAAACTATATAGAAACAAGGAAGTTTCTACACATAAAGCATCAAGTAACCAACAAAAAAAAAAAAAAACTAGCATAAAGTAATGATTAATAACTTGTCTAAGGCTTAAGCAGGAGCTGAGCAAGAGAATTCATTCTTGATATTACCTGCTTATATTGACTGTATCTCTTGTATATTGCCATTATGGTCATCATAGCTTCGGTATGGAATAGATCTGGATATCTGTTACAGTAAATGAGTTCTATGAATTTCTTGCTGTACTAGGGTAGTGAAGGTTCTCCTGGGAAACCCTGGACCACCTGGGCCTCCGGTGAGACATTTTGTTTTATATTTTGAATGTTATATTAGGAACAGTATACCTATGAGTAAAATGTAATGTAATAGAAACAACTGACGGTCAATCCAACATGTATTAATAGTGCAGGAAGGCAAACAGTGTCTTTTTGCAAGAGGTTTCTGTATTCCTTTTTTTTCTTGTGATTGATTGCTGAGGAAGTTCAGGTCACTAAATCCATCCTAGAAACTTCGTCGGATTAGTTAACCATGGTGTCCGATGTTATCAGATTAATTTAGACAGCTTGAGTACCTGAGATCAGGGAATTTAGGGAACCTAGGGAAAGTCCATGGAGCTCACAGGACTCCAAATTATCTGAAATAGCACATAATACAAAATTAATTCTGAAGAATAGTAATAATTGTAAATATAAAAATGTAACATACACTGAGATTTACTGGTTTCTGGTATCATAATTCAAAAAAAGTCCCAAGGTGCATTGGTATGTATCTTATGTTCTTACTGAAATGTCTGGATCTTTGAAAAATTGATCAAGAACAAAAATGATACCACAGTTTTGCTGAGCTACGAGGCTTGAACAGGGCAAGAGTTCTCTCTTTATAGTTCATAGTTGTGACACTTACTTGGTTTTCATGTTTTAAAGGGTATGCCTTACAATGAAAGAAATGGAATGAGCAGCTTATATAAACTCCAGGTATTTCTCTTTAATGTTTACATTTTTTTCAATCAACATCTAATTTTGGCCCAACTCAATTTTCAAACTTGCTGTTACAGGGAGGTGTGAGTGTTGCTAGTTATCCAGGGTCCACCAGGACCTCCAGTAAGTATTAACAAAAACATAGTCTCTAATAGTTAATTGACATAGTAACAGAGAGGTTAGGTTAGTTGCATGCAGTTTTGCTAAGTGTCAGTGGAATTTGATTTTACATGTGAAAAATAGAAAAAATAAGGATATGATTGGTATGTAGTAAATTACAAAGTATGTGATTTTATGTGTTTATCAAGCATTTTAGCCCATTTTGGAGAGTAGTTTATTTTTATGTAAGTATTTCACCCTAGCAAGTAAAGGTGCAAAAATGGTGCATAATTTGGTATTGGACTCTTTAGTGAAAGTATCCTAATATCTTAAAATGTGTAATACAGTATATATAGTTAGTGATGACATAGTTTTGTAATGGATTAAATTTGATGCCAGAAATGAGAAGCTCGTGAGCTCTGATATCAGTTCTGTCACTGATTCGCTGTGTGTAGCTACAGTTCAGAAAAATGTGTAAAACAGAGAATTATACTGTGGCAGTAATACAGGGCTGCAGAGTGCAGATGCACCACCTTGCAGCTGGGCACTGTGGAGCCAAAGATGCTGGGCAGTTATTTATGTCCTCCTTCTTGTTAGCATCATAAGCAAGTTATACTGCTTTAAGACAATTGTCACTTCGATAACCACATAAAAATGTAACCATCTGTGAGGACTTTGTCCTTACATTATGTGACACTTGTAGTCACAGGCTCACACTGGACCACAGAGCTGTCTTTCTCTTACTGTGGAGCAGCAAAACAAAAACCAAATATTACTAAGATTTTATACTAAACTAATCAGCTGAGAGGGCTGGACTTAGTACTCATTCTAAATGCACTGCGTTAGCAAAGTACAGTCATAATGCAGTAATTCAAAACAGTATCATAGTATTGTGTAACTCTGTTCTTTTTAAAATGTCCACTTCTTCATTTGTTTGCAGGGTCCAAAAGGAGATCCTGGCACAGTGGTATGTATGTATTTTTTGGTCATGATAGAGAATTCCCCAGGTAGTTCAACACATGATCCTAGTCACAAGGATGGAAGAGTCCATTAATGTTCTTTAGCAGGTAGCTTACCTCCTGCAGAATCAGTACATCTGGAAAAGCCTTTAAGTTGCCAGGCTTGTGAATTTTGAAATTTCTGGTAAATAGAGATAATATAGTGAATGACTGAACATAGTATTAACTGCTTGTGGATACATCTCTGCTGAGCTGTCCCTGGATATATCTAAGAATAGAAGATGTGAAATAAAGGTAGAAAATACCTTAAGAGCTACTAGATTGCTCTCAACATTAAATTTGAAAGTGATAAGGGAGAAAGGACAGTGTGCTACATCATGCTAGCTAGTGACAAGTAGAAGATGTTTTCTTTGGAAATGTCATGAGAGTTAGTTACAGTGTGATCATATCACTTATGGTGCACAAGATGATGATGATCCTGGGAGCCAGTATACCTTTCAGCTATGCAATTTGACATTCAAAAGCAGATCTATTTATCTTTTTTATATTTTTTTCCTTTAAGCATCGTTACGACCTTTTCACATGATCTTTCTTTAAAAATTATTAGGAGGGGAAGGATAACTAGTGGAAGAATCTTGAGCAGTTGCATAGGGCTAGCTGCCAGAAGAATGTAGATCCAAATCCTGACTGGGTGTATATTTTTCCCAAAGTCCTTGACATATAGTGTAACTTGCCTTTCTAATAGAGAAACTATATTTGTCATTAGTTTGTGACTTGTTACTACAGTTCCTAGCCTTAATGGTGGCAAAATTGAAACTTACAGATATTGCATCTCAATGACTGGACATCAGTGAAAATACTCAAAAGATGATAGTAAAATTTGAGTATTGATGGCTTAGCCCCGAAAGTATGATAGTATAAAATGTCATTTTAAATTTATATTGTTTTAAAAGTTAGATGGGTGCTTTCACAGCAGTTAAAATTTTAGTACATTTGTGTACTTCTTTTTCAAGTCTAAGAAACGTCACATAACTGCATAGTGGTACTTACAGCACTATAACACTGCAAGGGAGCAAAACAGGTCCTACTCCTTCATGGTCAGTGTGGCAGAACTGTGCCCAGCATACCTCTTTTGAACTCCAGGTGCAGTGACTAAATCAAGATGAGTACCATGTGTCAGCTAATGGAAACTGGTGAGAAGAATTTACCAATAGAAGCAGTAGAAGCTGAGCTAGTTAGGGAAAGAAAATTGTGCCTAGTGCATTCCCCATGATCTTCTGATTAATTGTCTATTTGATAAAGATCAGGAGATCCTGAAAAATACTGAAGAGATCATTTTTGAAGCAAAATCACATCCCTTCCAGCAAAGTAAAAACAGCTCTATCTGCTACTAATAAAACAAATTACTACTTCAAATAAGTACTTACAGAGTTCTTTAACACATTCAGTTTACTCAACCACCAAGAAGCTGACACTTGACCTCTCCAGCTACTGTTCTGTCTTTGAATTGTTAGTGTTGGGCAAAATAAATAAGAGGATGGTTCAACCAACATCTTGGATTCCTGGTGGTAAAGAATTGGGTCAGAGCACAACACATAGACTGTTTAAATGACACCAGAGACCGGTCTTGTCTGAACATATCAGGCCACAGTATTTGGAAGATGATGAGCAGTGTCTTATCCTGTTGAAGGATTCTTGTCTTCTGACTTGGGTCCATATCATAGAGTCTTTCTCTTCAGTATCAGTGTGAAACTACTGAGAAACGTCTCTACTCATGAAAGCAGCATGCCAGTATCATTTAGTTGTGTCTTTTTTCCTACCAGTGCAGGCACAGTATCTATGCAAAAATAGCAGCAGAGTTAGGTACAGCTAGCTCAGACTAACCCAGCCAATACCAAAGTGGTACAGTGTTGTGGTTCGAGCCCAGAGGGCAACTGAGCACCTTGCAGCCACTCACTCACCCCTTCCCCTCTTAGGAATGGGAAGGAGAAAGTGAGGCAAAATGCATCAGGAATCCAGATATGGACAGGGAAGTGTGGCTCACCCATTATGGTCACAGACAAAAGACAGACTCGTTAGGGGAATAAAAAAAAAAAAAGTCTCTCTAATTCAAATACTAACAGACACTTAACAGACAAGGTGGGACAGTGAGAAGCACCACCACATCCAAACAGCACATCCCCTCATCCCTCCCTTCTCCCTGAGTTCAGCTCTGCTACCCATCTCTCTACCTTCTCCCCCAGCAGTGCAGGGGGTGGGGGTTACAGTCAGCTCACTGCTCCTTCCTCATCAGGAGTTGGGGTGAACACTTGCACATTCCTCCCCTGCTCTGCAGTGAGCCCCTCCCACAGGAGGCAGCTGTTCCCAAGCTGATCTGGTGTGGGTCACCCCTGACACGTCGCAGTCCTCCCAGTACTGAACCACAACAGTGGGGACTGCTTCTACCCTCAGAGTCCCAGCTTCTTTTAGGTTCAGACACGTGTCCTGGCATGGGCTTCTCTATAGATGTCAGGTCAGCCTCTACTCCACCATGGACCTCCATGGGTGGCGGGGGGCAGCCCTGTTGTTTCACCATTGGATACAGGAGTCTCTGCTCTGGCACACCTCCCCCACTTCCCTCTCCTTCCTTCCACTGACCTTGGTGTTCGTTCTTCTCCCCATTCCTCCTCACAAGTCCTCACCCCCTCTCAGGTTCCCCTTCTTAAATATGTTCTTGCAGAGGCACAGACACCATCACTAATTGGCTCAGCCTTGGCCAGAGGTGGGTCTGGCTTGTTGCTGGGGGAGCTTCGAGAAGCTTCTCGCAAGAGCCACCACTGTAGCCTCCTCCCCTGCTATCAAAAACCCTGCCACAGAAACCAAGCACATATGGGAATGTAACATTTTTAAGAGCTGGCTAGGACTTCATCTATCATGAAGGTGCATAATCTCTACTCAGTCAACCTGTGCAGGGCCTAGGATCTTGTCTGATTACTTGCCAAGTGTTAATGCAGAGCCAGCCATGTGAAAAACTAAACTTTGATCTGTGAACCAATGTGATAACTGTGCTCCTCAAGGACAATAGGAAACCCAAAAGAACCCCTCAGCACTCAGAGCAAAACATGGAGTTGTGAGATAATTTCCTAAAATAGGTGGTTAATCTATTTTCCAAAAATATCACAAAGCCTTTTTTTGTTTTGCCATCATGCCCAGAAGCTGAATCCATCTTTCTGTACCAGCATCCTCTTCCTACTCAGGAAGCATGATCTCGCAAGTACAGTTTAGATGTGTAAAGCGAGAGGTCTGCCAGAGATTTCATTAAATCCAGACGGGAATTTGCTGTGGCTTTTAATTTACCTGAGAATTGCTGAAATACTAGAGTTGTTGGCTGTCGTTTAAATCTCTATGGTAAATTATTGATTTTCTCTGGAAAAAGAAAAATAATTAAAAGGGCCTCCGCATTCTACACATTAAACTGATTCCTTCAGCTGAGCACGTTTCTCCTTTTCTTTCAAAAGTTGAAGACCTACACAGGGACCTAGTCTGTGTGTTCCTTGCTGCAAAGTAAACTTTGTTTAAAGAACAGATCACGGAATTGCTTGAAGGTTGAATCTTGGGTTGACAGTGCTGTTGTAGCAAATGCTACACCCCAGGGCTCTACCGCCTAGACGTGCTTTAGAGCTGACCTTGGCTTGCAAGAATACTGGAGGGCAGTCTTCTGGATTACCTTCTTCATCAAAATTAAAACTGCTGATCCAAATACTCACACCATGCCTCTGGGAAAAACTTAATTCGCAGATCACTGGAACAGGGCATAACAAAATCTGTTCACCTAATAGCTGGTTAGCTGTTTTACTAATCTTAAATTAAATAATCTGCTGTTGCTTTTTGTTCAACATTTCTCATGTAGAGTACAATAATTCTAATGTATGCAATCCTTTTTAATTAAAATTAAATAATAATCAGGGAGACCCAGGACCAATGGGATTACCAGGACTGGAAGGACTCCCAGGGGAAAAGGTAGGACTCTTAAAAAGAAGTCATGGCTTCTTAGTGGCAACTACATGTAGCTAAATGTTTTCTGAAACCTTTTTTGATTCTTTTTGTGTAAGCTAATGTTTCTGTCTGAAAAATATTTGCATGTTTATCTGTATTTCGCTTTTTTGCTTTACTGTGGATCGAAATCATATACTCACACAACATAAAAGTTCATTTTCCACAAATGGAAAATTGTACGTAGGAGGTAATATTTTGTTTTCTTAACTTGATGGAATACTACTATATACTATATTATTATTACAATATATTGTAATATAGTATACACTATATATATCTATATTACTTGATAGTAATATATTGCTTATTTACTTATTAATATATTACTTAATAGTAATATAGGTAACATGTTCCCAAGTGTCATCACTAGTTCTTGTTCTCTGCTGGACATTATCTTATGCTTATCGTCTGTCCATCTTATTCTAAAACTTACAGCATAGCTACAGATCTAAAGATAAGTTTGTCCCTGAATTAGTCTAGACCTAGTGCATGCAAGACTTCCATACAACCAAAAAGACTGTTTCAGATGAGTGTAAAAATACAAAAAATAGTAGAAATAGAAGTAGAGACTGATTCCCTACAGTTCCTGTTGTATTTCATCCTGCTCCAAAGTGAGCAAAAATCTCTTTTCTCAGGCTGATGCTCATTATTCTAAAGAAAGCCCCTTGTTTCTGTTTTGCTTTTCTTGCACTCTGTACTGTGTCTATGATGCCATCATAGCACATCCTAAACTGTATAATATTCTCCAGCTCCTTCCTGAAGTTCAAGTCTGCATTCAAGTGCTAGGAATGTTTCAGCCTTTCACATACTGGTTGTGGAGGCTGATATGTATTTAGAGAACAGCTTGTCATGAGACACTAAAACGCTGATGTGTATTTAAGGAAAAGCTTGTCATGAGACGCTAAAAATGTCAAGATTTTGGTATTCATTTCTCAGTATGGAAAAGTACAAAAAAATTCAGCAAAGAAATTAATCTACAAATATGTTTTCTATCAATGGAAACAGTTTGGTTTTGCATGTCTTCTAAGTTTAAGAAGAAAAAGGTACTTTTTTTTTTAAATTAAATATTTTTTCAGCTTTTTGAATAATACGTTATTTAATGATTTCATACAAAAATAGTTTACTGAAACTTACTTTTCATCAAAAAACAATGTAAATGAAAATTTTCTCTCTGTATCCTTGTGCAGTGAGTGGGGGTGACAAAATTCAAGGTCAGTGTCTATATTAGATGTTTTAAATTACAGGAGATGATTCACTGCTCTGGAAGACTACAAATTTACAAGCAATTAAAAGACTAGTCTGATTTTAAAATGAACAAGCACAGCGAGATATTACAGGTCTAACTGAGACAAAGTGCAGACAAGAATTAAATAAAGGGAATAAGCTGTGGAGCAGATCATATAAACAAGCTAAGTGAGTGTTTGGCCCTTTCTCAAAGTAAAAATATCCTTTCTTTAACTAAATTTGGTCAAAACTCCACTTTTCTGGTGCAAATAAGCGAACAGAATCCCAGAGCCTGCCTGCCAATCCCAACAGTATAATGCATGCTGGTTTTTAATTTAGAGCTATTAGGCAAATCTGTGTAGTAGAATGCCATTTGCAGACAACACTGGCTGTAATTTCATGAACTGGCTTAACAACTTTCTTTCCTTGGGGCAAAACATCTCTTCCCTCGGCTGTGCTGACACAGTGGTTTGTGCAGCCGCACTGCGAACCGCATTGCTGAAGGGACCAGAATAACCCTTAAAAGAAAAATAGTTGCAAGGGAAGCGTTAGGAATTTCTAGCTTCACCGTCACAGCCAGCCTAGGGGGAAAACACCACGACACAAGTTCTGGGTCTGGAATGACCACAGGGCCAGAGCGCAGTGCTCCAGCCGATATGCCCTGCTACAGATACGAAGCGCTCAGGGGTTCCTGAGGTGCGTGTTGTGTTCCTCACTGAGGGGTGAGCTTGCATCAAGTGAATTCTCTTAGCCTTCAGAGCAAGAGAGGTTGAACTGTGGCCTATAAGCAAGCTTCTCCCTCCGGACGCAAGACACTTAACCTGTCATCCGTCTATACTTTGTGTAATGGAATTCAGTGTTTTTAATTACCAGCATTATCATTGCGCTACCTGAACAAAACAATGAGGATGGGACAAATTAGTATTAGGTATAAGAACAGAGACCAGAAATCCCAACACCTCCTGGGGCTCTTCTGCACAGCAGAATGTGGCGGTAGCTCCAGCACAAAAGCCATTGTCTGAGCTTAAAGCATAGATGAAGGTGGCTGTATGCTAAAAGGAGAAACTTTGCCTTGAAAGGACCATGGCACAAGCAAATTGAGGATGTAGCAAATGGGTGACTGGATAGCAAGGAAGGCAAAAACTTATTTGAAAGATACATCTTAAATATGGGGATGTTGATATGATAGTGAATTACCCTATGTGAATTTTGGTCATTGTCATGACCACAAATTATAATTATTTGTAAAACTACAGATAAGTCAGGAACTTTCCATCCCCTTTCAAGGAAGGCCTCAGGCAGAGTAGAAGGGACAGCATGGAAATTATGACATTATACAAGAGAACATAAACAAAGGATTTAAGTTACTTACTCAAGACTGTAGAATGAGTCAGTGGCCGAGCTAAATATTAGCATTTAGCTAGAGCCTGGCTCTTGTCCTCATTTTCAGTTCACTGAATAATCCTCCCTCAGGTTTTCATGGGAGTCCACAAACAAACTTCTGTTCTGACTATTGCCATTTAAATATGGTTTTATCTTTTCTTCAGGGTGACCGTGGACCAGCTGGCACACCAGGAATAGCAGGGACACCGGTATGTATATTCATTAAAGAAAACTCTGTTTGTTAGAAGCTGAAAAAACAGGTCAAGCAAGGTTCTGAGCTGTAATCTTGATCGCTGTTTGTGTAACGCTAACACTTGGCTAATGCTTTATAGGCAGGTATGTAAATGATGTGTTTTTCCTAAAGAGATTAGAGTTTTAATACCACCTGAGGATTCATATTATTATTAAAGTGACAGGAGAGAATGGTGTGAATACAAGATAAAGCTGGAATTTGAAGCTGCATATGCTTAGTTAAGAAAGCATATGAGATTCTTCTCATTGCTTCAGTTTAATATAGATAAAGACATTTTCTGTGTTCCTGGGAATGCACAAATTTCTGAGCATCTTTCACAAAATAAAAATTATGAACTGTTAGTTATTGCAATCCACAAGCATCTGCATATCAAGTCAATCAAACATTGGCTTTAGGGGAATGCTTTGTCAGCTGTTTACATGTGGTATTCAGAGAAGTTTCTGAAAGTCATCCAGAAACTTTGTTGTAGGTGAAAAGAAATGTAACTACTGATAAATTGAAATTACAATTATTCATTTGTGTTCCTAAAGGAAATAAAGACAACTTTTCTTTAGACTGCATTCACAGTTTAATAAAAAGGTTTATCCATATTTCAGGAGGCAATGTGGAGTTATTTATATGCAAATACATTTATTATTAAATTTGGGCAGCTACCAATCCATTCAGGAGCTGATTTTAAATTATAAATATGTGTTTCACAAAATAAAGATAAGTTTGTGTCTATGCACTTCCATTTCCATTAGCCACTGATTTAGACTATTTACTTTAAATTCCAAGAGATTACATTAACTTAAATGGCTTAGTTTAGTTGAATTCTCCTAAAACAAGGTAAAATTGCACACTTAAGGGAAAAAGAGAAGTATTTGAGTTTTATAGCACATGTAAGAGTTTCAAAGTTTGTTGCTCTGAAATGTATTTCATGCTGTGAAACAATAATGCAGTAGCCAGTTAGAATGGTCACAGTCATTCAATCCCTGTGTATTTCCCACTGGGTATGTTCTAAGTCTTATTCTTGTTGCTCTCTCTTCTAGCTGGATATGAAATATTTAATGGGTTCCCTTCATTGCTGATGAAGTGGTATTCTGTTGATTACATTAATTCTAATAAAACCCACTGGAAGAAATTATTCACTTTAACATTTTATGATAAGCAGTTTTAATTAACAAATCAATAGACGTATGATAGAGAATATTTTTCAGTAGTCTAGGAATAGTTTTTGAAATATATCCACATATCTTACTGGAAGAGAATTTGTCCTCCTTGCCTGGCATTATTCCCCACATTAAATAGTGGACCCTTTTTCCTATTGGGAAATATAAGCCTCTCATTTTAGCTTTGACTTTTTGCTGAGGGGGATTATCAGGGAAGCTGGGACTGAGATTCTGCAAGAATTGCCACCAAATCTTATTTCCTCCACAAGAAACCTCAGTCCTGTTGTTCCTGAAGTTGTCACTGGTATTGATGTGTTAGATTCCTCACTTGTACAAGTCAGCTGAGGATCTGGTCTAAGGATATTTCTGGGAAATGTAGATTCAGGGTGATAGATTCTTGTCTGGGGCTGAACCGGACAGCTTGTTAAAAGCAAGGCATCATTTCAAAAATAAAGACATGTAAAATCACCATCTAAATGATGAGATGAGAAAGGATTGTGAATAGGCTGAAGATGAAATGACAATAAAAGTGGCTGAAAAAGAGCATGAAGAAAATTTCCAAAACGTGTTAAATCAGTAATAAACTCACTTTTAAAAAAGTCAGGACTAGGAAGTACTTGAAGGAAAAAATCTTGATTACACATAATCAGTGATAAACTTTGATCTGACTATGACTTCTCAAGAAGGTAATCATAGTGGTATATAAGAAAATTTTATGAAAACATGTCAGTATTCATAAAGGGTAAAGAAGACCAAGTGATTGAGTTATGTTGTACACAAGAGCCAGATTAACATGGCACAAATATTTAAAATGTGTGGTGAAGTATTTCTTTTTCTACTCTTAAAGCACTTAATGAGCAGTAACGTGAATTTTTCACTCAGATATATATCCTCTCATATTTTTGACCTAGGATAAATTATTTTTTGCTTCCCAGTAATTTGAATTTGTAATGTTCTCTTTTTGCAGGGAAAGCCAGGATCTCCTGGGTCCCCAGGGATGCCAGGGGAACCTGTAAGTAGAGATTTAAGTTCTGGACTCTTATGATAATACTCAAATATTTCAAACACCAAATGCAAGATTTTACATGCAGATTTATATGTATATTTTCTTCTTTCTTAGGGTGAAAGAGGACCTATAGGAGATATAGGCTTCCCTGGGCCAGAAGGGCCACAAGGAAAACCAGTAAGCAATTTTATAATGAATATATATGTTCATTACAAAAGGATGTACCTTTATTTATCATAAGTTACAAAATAAATGAGATTGCATCCTGCTTTGTGTTAGGCTAGGTAACATCTGAAGAACACTTAGAGCTACAGCGTTCAATATTAACCGTTCAGTCAAGAATTCCTGGTATTGTGATGTTTTAATAGTGTTACTGAGATGTTGCCTTTCAAGTTCTTATGGGGGGTCCTTTGGATCCTGTTGACCTAAAGGATCCTCTCATATTTTTCAGAAGGAGTATATTAACCTAGAGACTCAACATGGTTTATAAAGGATGGGGTGACAAAATACATTCCCTGTTTCAGTTTGGATAGAGAAGCATGTGCTTCGTGACTCTGAATAAACTTCATAACTCTTCTGTATACAGGTGATGCAGCACTGCAGCTGAAGCATTTGCTGTTCACTTAGGATGTTTAATCTGACCTCTTTTTTTCATAGAAGTGTGACAGCAATGTAGTGAGCAGTGTCTGAGCTGTTTTAAAACAACCTAGTTTATATTCTAGAAGTGGTTCAGCTAGGATAACGCAGAACTCATTATCTCCCCCAAAGCTTGATGTTTTGGGGACAAGCATGAGAAGCAGACCATTTCAGTTTGTCAGCACATCTCCACATTATGATTCAGTCTTGAAAGAAGAGACAATTTCTCTAACTTCAGCAGAAAATTGGCCCAAGGTGCCTAATCTGTGCAAAATTCCACTTTGCAGTATGAGAGGGCAGAAAATATTCCTGATGTCTTTGCTCATGCGAGTCCTTCTTTCTCACTCAGTGAAATAGCTGTGAGTTTGCTGCTTATGCAGATCCATGTATATCCTAGTAAATTAAACAGTGTCAGAGAATTTATCAGTGCAAGTTATCTGGCATTGTGCGAACTGTTAACATACTCTCTGACATTATTTTGGCCCATGCCAAGTAGGACTCAGATAATGCCACATTCCAGTTTGGGGGATAACACAGACCTGGAACTGTTTCCAGCAAGTGGTATGAAGGAGATCACCCTCTTTTGGGAAAGAAATATGCTTAACCCAGAAGGTTGACACTGTGCCATGCCTCAGATGCTAAAGACCAAAGAGTGGATCTGACCACTTACTGTTAATGCATCATTTCTGTAACAGCAGAAGGCTAATAGGGCATCAGGGCTATTATCTAGAATAAGAGAAATCTCTTCTGTGGTTGTATAATGACTAGCTGGGACCGGAAAAGTGCACATACAGGTCCAGTATTCCACATCTGCAGAATTTCTGTTCTGCAACTTGTCATTTAAAGTAGTTGTGTGCTCATTAAAGTTGATGCACATCTTGATGCTGAAATTTTTTTTTTGTTCTGCTCTCGAGCTCAAAATTAATGTGCTTGCTATTCAGCATTTCCCTGAGCTCTATTATTACACGTCTCAAGACTATTCCTGAGTATTTTTATGTTGTAACCACACTGCTGCCTTTGCAGCTTCAGAATATGGACTGATACCAAAACTAGACATTGAGATTTATATTTTTTAAATGCACATACATAAGCATATTTATTAAAAAATTGTTGTGTTTTTTTGTTATAGGGAATCAATGGAAAAGATGGATTGCCAGGTCCTCCGGTAGGAAAACATCCTTTTGCATATTAGTGTATTTTATTCCTCACAGATACCATAGCTGTTAATCCTAGGCAGTTGCTTTCAGTTCTGATAACAGATGAATATACAAAAAAGCCTTTAAGTGGTATGTTTATCTTTTTTCAAAAACAATTTTTCAGGGTGCTGTAGGGAGACCAGGAGACAGAGGACCCAAAGGAGAACGTGTAAGTTCCTTGTTTTAATATTTTTTTCTCTTTTTACCAAGTATCCAAGCACCTTATCAGCAGCATATTTTACAGGGAAAACCAGTAAATTAATTCTCTGTGAACTTCAGGCAATCTTTTAGACAACCAACAGGTTTAGTCCTAGACACCACTTTAAGGAATTAGAATTGAATTGGCTTCTGCATTTAGAGGAAAAACACATTTTATAGGCTTTCTAACACAGTTGTCATGGACAGCGTAAATTGATCAATAGTTTGAAAACTGGAAAGTAGCTAATCCTGTTGTGATGCTGTCAGACTTTGCAAGAGCTATAAAGCTTGGTCCATCATCATCCCTGGGATCTTTGTATGTCATACACAAATCATGTTTTATATAAAACAAGCTTATTACACTTAGGCAGCAGGAATGCCACTGCAATACCTTACTGCTTCCTAAAATGTTTAGACAGTTCTGTTCATGGTAACAAGATCGTGGTGGACAGGCATCACTACAGGAGATGAGAGATGATCTTTATTTTGTTAAAGCAAAGGAAATCCTAGCACATACTCTGCTCCTGTTATAACGTTGCTAAAGCCCTGATGTCCTAATTCAATTGATGCCACTGTTTATTTGATCAATCAGAAAAGCATCTACCTCTGTAATCTGGAAAAGTCAATGCTGCTTTATGACACTGAGGGAACATGAAGTTTTGACCATTACTACAAGAACTGTCCCTTACAAAAAATAACAGTTTGCAGTGTTCTGCTTCCACCTTTAAAGACACGAATAAAATGTAAGAACTTTCTTATTGTACCACCTACTGTGTACTGTATTACACCACTCAGCCTTGTCCTTCTCAGTGTCAGCCTCTCCGAATGCACTGCAAGTAGTACTGTACACATAAAACCAGAAGAGGAGGCTGGACCTGTAAGTGCAGGACCTTGCAATGTCCTGACAGGGAGAAGATATTGAAAAAGTCTGTGGGAGACAAGAGACACGGCCTTAGCTCGCTTCGTGAGAGTGAAACTTGGGAGCTGTCAGGGTAAGAAAAGAGGGTGTATTCATTCCAGTCTCATCGGTGACAGAGTACATACATACACACATGTACATGTAGCTATAGATGTAAATGTGGATATATGCTTGCTCTCAGAGAGGTCACAGCTGCCTGAATCTGCTCTCATTTCAGGAATCAGTGGCAAACTGTGTCACAATCTAGTTCCCTCTGTACAGAGTTAAATAAATAAACAAACATATATATAAATAAATAGTATAGATACATGTTAAAAAATACATCCGTTTCCAGGAGAATTTTTGTCTCAAGCGATAATTGAAGTATCTCACAATCTTTTATAACAGAAGAGTTATAAATATGCCCATTGCTGTATCTGAATACAGTTTTCAGAAAGCTGTCAGTTGTTCTTTGCAGTTCTGCAGGAAAATAAAAAGGTTATTGAAAACAAGGGGAGATCTGCCAAAGACGTAACAGTGACATATACAGCAGAAATCTGCATTTTGGATAAAAGACCAGTGGGAGAGTTGGAGATTATTTTTTTTTTCCTCTGTTACAGACCTGCATCTGTGAGAAAGGTTGCAGTGTTCACAGAAAATAACACAAAGTCAGGGATTTCTTATGGCCATTATTATTACTGCTGTACAGCATACTCCTTTAGTTTGAGACCAGCCATTGCAATTGCAGAAAAGAGAAGCATCAAAATTGGAAGGACAGAATAAAACTCTTGAGGTTTTCATATCTAATATATCATCATAGTATCTATTTTAAGAAAGAAGTAGTCACCTGGGCTGAAATAATCTGATACGTCCTTTGAGTGACTAAACACTGCTGTTATTACTAATTTATAAACTGAGTGGCAAACAGGTTGAAAACGTAGTTTATTCCAATCAGAAGTACGCCTTTCAAGTTTTCAACAACAGATTAAAGTATTGGCGGCAGGCTCATTTATTGCTATTTTCTGCATACCTTGATCACAGACTGGGAGCCTGCTGGACTACAGTATGCAGAAACCCAGGCAAAACAATAGTTCCATTAGAATAGTTCACAGAATTTAGTACAAGATTAAATGCAATAAATGGAAGAATGCTAGAAATGAAGAAGACTGAATAAATCAGCACCATAGGCAGAGATTGCAAAGTGCAAATATCCTACTGGTTTTTGTACAATTCATAGTGAAGGAAAGTTTAAAGAGGAATCTGGAGGAAGATATGACCTAGTTTTATGAATTTTTACAAGGAGTTTCTTCCAAATACAAATTAAAACACTGGAAGCAGTTAAAAAAACGCTTGTTTGAAAAGTGGCTGTCGTATTTGATCTGCCTCCTATACATTGGCCACCCCTAAAATGGGAATAGTTTAGAAGAAAAATAATTCCAGGATCACCTTCACACTGCTGTAGTACCATAGTGTTAGAGAAACCTGCATTTTTCTTTATTTCTAGTAGAATAGCTATCCATACCTACACTGCAGGGTTATAAACCTGAGAAATTATATATGTATATTTATGCCTTAAATATGTCTTTAATGAAGGCTTCTTGTAAGTATAGTGATCTTCATACAGCTCTTTTTTTTATATATGTGGGTACATGCGTGTGGGTACTCTCATTTGAAAGTGCTATCAGACAAAATGGTGTGTTCGGTGGCTCCCTATGCTGGACTTCAATCTCAAAAAAAGCATCTAAACTAGAAGTTATATTAAAGGCTATCCCTCTTCCAAGTTTTGCAATAACACATGGTAGAACAGGAGTTGTTCTTCAATTTTATAATGTTTTGGGTTGCTAGGAGATGGACGTTGGATGCAAAAACTTTGTTACAGCCAGGAAAGAGCTTCTTCCCTGCAGACTGTGAAAGTTCTGCTTCTTGGTCAGAACCCTTCCTCTGCGCTGAATTTCTCAAGGTGTCGCAATACGTGTCCTGATACAATAGCTGTATGCAGGACAGAATATTTCTTCCTATAAATTTTAAAATTTATAGTAACCTGGAAAGGTACACCTCTTCCACCAGAAGATCACTCTTCCAGTTCCCTCAATGCACATACGCTTCTTTTCCTTCTCCCACTGACTGTTGAAATTTGAGTCTTTGACTAAGGGTTACAGGTGTCTTTTGGGTATCCCATTGTATCTTGCCTTTATTCTACTGAGTAGCTAAATTAGCCCTGTGTTTGTTGGAAATCATCCATATGCTGCATATTTAGAGATTTGCCCAAAGTATTAACGCCCAGAAACGAAAACTGGAAATCAGGCATCGGCAATATTGGCAAGATAGGTCTTGTAAGAGAAACACAATAAATGTAACCATAGTGAGATTATTCCATGTCACACTGACTTTCCTGACGATGTGATCATGTTAGCAGTTTGACAGGTTATATAGGGTTTGCGTGGCAGGGTTTTGGTGACAGGGCCTACAGGGGTAGTCTCTGTGAAAAGACACCAGGAGCTGCCCCCCACGTCAGACAGAGCCAATTCCAGCCAGCTCCAAGACAGACCTGCTGCTGGCCAAAGCTGAACCCATGAGTAACATTGGTGCTGTCTGTGTGATAGAAAGGGTAAAAAGTGCTGCACAACAAGCTGGGAGAGAGGAATGAGAAAACATGAGAGAAACAACCCTGCAGACACCGAGGTCAGTGAAGAAGGAGGGGCAGGAGGTGCTCCAGGAGCCAAAGCAGAGATTCCCCTGCAGCCCGTGGTGAAGACCACGGTGAGGCCGGCTGTGCCCCTGCAGCCCATGGGGGTCCATGGTGGAGCAGATAAACAACTGCAGCCCGTGGAGGACCCCACGCTGGAGCTGGTGGATGTGCCCTGAAGGAAGCTGCAGCCCATGGAGAGCCCACACCGGAGCTGGCTCCTGGCAGGACCTGCGGCCCCTGGAGAGGAGCCCACAGAGGAGCAAGTTTTCAGGCAGGAACTGTGTCCCACGGGACCCACGCTGAAGCAGTCTGTTCCTGAAGAACTGCAGCCCATGGGAAGGACGTACGCTGGAGCAGTTCATGAAGGACTGTCTCCCACACTGAAGCAGGAGAGGAATGTGGGAAGGAAGGAGCAGCAGAGATGAAGTGTTACGGACTGACCCATTCCCCCTCCCCCTGCGCTGCTCAGGGGGAGAAGGTAGAAGAGTGAGGAGAAGTTGAGCCTGGGAAGAAAGGGGATGGGTCGAGGGGGAGGTCTCACTATCCTGCTGTGTTATTAATTCACAATAAAATAAATTAATCTTCCACAAGTTCAGTCTGTTTTCCCCTGACGTTAATTGGTGAATGATCTCCCTGTCCTTATCTTGACTCACAAGCTTTTAATCTCATTTTCTCTCCCTGCCCTGTCAAGGAGAGGGAGTAAGAGAGCGACTGGGTGGGTACCTGGCAGGCAGCCAAGGTCAACCCAGCACAGAGGTTAAAATTATAGGTGTGAGGTGATGAGGTCTCAGATTTTGACAGGTTTTTTTTTTTTTTTCTTGTGGTAGACTTTTAGAGTTCAGACCCTCTGCACTCTTACTGAGGGCAATTTAAATTCCAATTGGGAATGCATTGTGGTTTCAGTTAATGCAATAAAACATCACAATTTACAGTGGCCTTGTAATCATAGTCAGCTCTAACTCACTGGAAATCATACAGATTGGAGAACAGAATGGTGATAAATATGTTATACAACCTCCTACTTGCACTCTTACCTCCCTTTCTTTCTTTTTCAATCTTTACCTATCAGGTAAATATGACTTAAGATGATAACTTCACTTTTTATTGGTTTATCATTCAATGATGTTTCAGATCTGAATACAGTTCACCAGTACTTGCTGTAGATTAAAAATGCAATTAATTCAATCCATTCACCCTTCATAAATGTAGATTCTGGATTTATCTAGTAATGCTGTAGTCAGTTCTTGGTGCTGTTTGCTGCTTATGGTGGAACCTAACATTAGCTTTAAGTGATGCAGCAAGGGCAGTCAGTGACCCTTAACATCTGCCAGCTGTTCTGTAACAAGCTGAACGTGTGACCTGTGGCACTCTGCTCCACAGCTGTAGTCCAGTTAACTAATGGCTAACACATTAAGTCACTCTAAAAGATCTAATTCCTCACAAATAAAACAAATTTTAATGCCATCTCAGCCATGCTGGAAGCTGTTGCTGGCCAGAACATTGACCTTTAATTTATTTTGCTTGTGAGGAAGTAACTCATTATAAATGGATTGGTGTATTTGTTGTTTCTTTGGTTAACTGAAATTTTGTGTACATGTGGAAGTAGAATATTAGGCTTCTAGGGAAAACAGAAGAAAGTCTGATGCCTTATGCATGGGGGAATTTGAGCACCTAAATTCTACCTACGTCTTATTTGACTTTTCTAGATCCTTGTATAAGTGCTATAAACTTTCTGCACCCTAGTTCTGTCCTTGAAAAGTGGGTTACAGAGTGAAGCTGTTTATTTTTGTCACTGACTTCAACATTAAAAGTAGTAAGAAAACAAAACATTACTTGCTGTCTTTTCACAGACAAGGGTTAACCTGTAAAATCAGCTTCACTGCATGACTCAGAATCTATTTCTTAATAGGGAAGAATTTTCTTTTCAGCATTCTTGGGTGACTTTTCCTGGTTTGTTCCAGTGTATGCAATGATTTTCTTTCTGCTTTTATTTTACACAGGGAGATCAGGGTATTCCAGGGGACAAAGGTCCACAAGGTGAACGAGGGAAACCTGGCCCAACAGGAGAAAAGGGGGATGTGGGTCCTACTGGGCCACCAGGAGACAGAGGCTACCCAGGATCACCAGGTCATCAAGGTCCCCCAGGTTCACCAGGACCTCCAGGGTTTCCAGTAAGTAGATACAAGTTTTCCTTGGTTGCTTGTGAATTCAGACAATGTGAAGGTAGTATGTGCTGAGCAGTGGAAATTCAACTGAGCAATACCACAATATCAGAAAAACTAAGATATCTCTGAGATAGCATCAGTATTCAGTTAAGAGTTGGAAAAAAATATACATAGGTGATCAAGCAGTTCTTTGGTTGTTTTTTTTAAGTAGATGCTATTTATTTCTTCAACTCCTGATGAATCAATATAGCTACTCAATACTGTTAATTTTCAAGTTTTTCGTAAGCTTAAGGGCTAATGTGTCAGTCTTTGGATCTGAGAAAGAAAAGGAGGCAGACAAAAATTATTCTCAATAAAAGGGAAACTGGCATTTAAAAAGACAGTGAAATGCTGCATGTCAGATGTAAATATCTTGGTTTGTCTCCATGTGCACACAGGCATACATCCATGCTATAGGTTCTTTTTACCCTCAGTGAGATAGAGTAAAGCTCTAAAAAAAGTTTTCCAGGGAAGTTATTGGTCCTGTGATGCAGTTCTTGTTGTCACCTGTGCATCAAAGCAATTAGTCCGTAGAAGGGGTGAGAAGTTGGCAAATGCTATGCGAAGGGCAGGTAAAGCATAGCAGTGTCTCTGGACATCCTTACTGTCTTACGCAAATTAATTTCTGTGCACGTAACATGCTGGTCATCTCGACAGTTGGGGCTGCCTCTTCCACTTCATGGTATTAGTGGTCTTTACAATATTATAATGCATTTACAATAAAGTGGCCTTTGCAGTTAAGTAAATAACACAAATATATTAAAATATTTAATTTTTTATAAAAACTTTACATTTTTAATGCTAATTTCAGGATGTTTTTATTTTTGTATCACCCTAAAGTGCCCTCTGTATATTTCTTCTGATACATTATCACCTTTTATTTTTCTTCATCAGGCTGATACGGTTTCTATTGAAGAAATAAAAAAATACATCAAACAAGAGGTTCTTAAGGTTTTTGAAGGTAAGAAAATGAAGTATTATGCAACTAAACATAAACCTTAAATTCTGTTCTAAATGTTTTACATCCCTACAGGCTTTACATACATTTCTTTAAATGTCATCTAACTTACATTGGACTTAGCAGCTTCCTTGTTGCTTTAGTTATGTTTAACTGTTGTTTAAGTCTACTTAATATAATTATGTTCAATTATAAATTATAGTATGTGTTAACCTTATGTAAAAGATTAGCATTAAGAGGTAGTTTGCTCCAAATCATAATAGCAAACATATATGTATCATTGTAGACGCATATATGTATTGTATATTGTTACAGATGCATATGTATCTACAACAAGTTATTAAGACACTGATGTTTTATTGAAGTGAAGACAATAGAAATATCTAATTATTTTGGCCCTTAGTGAATGACTCATCTAAATGAGAGAAAGGCTTGACAGCTTTCAGTCTTGCAGGTCTATACTGCTGTGCATTTTCAGCAAATGCCCCTGCTGAGCTCCAAAGCTCCCTTTCAGACCACTATCTTCTGGCACAGTTTTAGGCAAGTACCAGATTCAGCTAAGACCTTTGTTCTATGTAAGCTTTCTTAGGTGTATCCTTACACCGAAAAATAGATACTGCTGTTTCCCAGTGTTTTCTTAGTCAGGGTTGAAAAGCTGTGACTCAGGTAGGTGCCTGAAACAAGCTTCTGCTGTAACTCCTCCTGTAGCTTCTCTTCCATTGCAAAATGCATTTCTTATGTCTGCAATATGCTTAGCTATTTTTTCATAAATATTTGTGGATACAAAACCTTTTATCTTTTAGGGGAAAAAGAAATAATATAAAGCCTGAGACTTTTTAAACTATTCTGGCAGTTTTTCACTTTATAACAAAGCTATCATTTTGTGTATTTTCACCGTTCCCGCAACTGCTACCCCTTAGAAGTTCAACCTACTATGTATGTCAAGAGCAGTTTGTTGGCTGAAGTTACCTTCTTTTCCCATTTAAACAGAATGGTAACTATTCATAAAAAGAAGGTATTAAAAGGCATCCTGCCTACATGGAATATTGGGGTTTGTCTTTATAGCTATTCTGTTTTCTACACCTCACTAGTGTTCTCACAGATCTTCTGGTTTTGACTTTGTTTCACTTTGCCTATTTTCTATCACCTTGCTTATTTTTCGTTTGATGCCCACAGTTCTCTTTACTCTTATTTTTTTTCTTAAATCTTAAAACTCCACCACAGTAAATACCTGCTAAATTATGGAATGCTTAGTTAAGTTTTATAATTCAGTATAAATGAGACAGATTCAAGATTAGTACCTATTTTGTCTACCACTAAGGAACACTGCTATGTTACCAAGTGCACTTTATTCCACCAGCACGAGCAGTTCATGCTGAAATCTCTGCAATTAACGATGTTAAGTGAGCATTTATAGGTTTTTCCCCAAGTGTTTTCAGGGTTTCAGCACATTCCGAGAACTGTTCAGGGTATTTAAGGTCTACTTTGTAACTTAATATGAGTTACAAACATATAGGGTTACAAACATATAAGGTAGCCATTCATAGGGGTGTTAAGTACTAATTATTCTGTGTTCATGTATTTTACATAATTCCATGAACAGGAGTCAGAAGTAATTTGAAATATTGGAATACATTAGTAAAAGAGAGTGGGAATAGGAAATTTAGTACAAATTCATTCAGATTATTTCAAAGGGTAAAGACTCAGACATGAATCTTGAGTTGGAGCTGAAGACCTCAGTACTTATAGAAGCATTTAATACCTTGGCATTTAGAAGAATCAAACACTTTAGTTTCAGAAACTTACTTTAGCTGGGTCTTTGGGCTTTATTTATTTTTCCGTATTTTGCTAGCAGATTTCTTACCCACTTTTTCTTGTGTCCTTTGTTCCTGAAGAAAGGATGGCTCAGTTTGTATCCCAGCTGAAGCTGCCTGCTGCAATGCTTGCCTCCCAAGCTCATGGAAAACCAGGGCCCCCAGGAAAAGATGGGTTACCAGGGCCACCAGGAAAGGATGGTTTGCCAGGGCCACCAGGAGAACGTGGTAGTTCAAGGTAGGAATTCCAAAAAATGTTCCCATGAATTGTATCTTGAAATCTTTATACACTTTCTAATGATTATTAAATAAGCCAGGATTACCTGTCTAGCTTCCTAATGATTAACTTTTAAAACTGTACTTATGTTTTTCCAGACTAGTTCTAAATATTAACCCATAGTAAATGTGTGGATTTTACTGATTAAAAACTCCTAATCAGTGCATTTTATTCTAATAAGTGATAAAGTTAATTACTGACAGATATCTAAAGCTGACAGATATCTAGACTACTGTGGCAGTTATTTTTTTTTCTCTAAAATACTTTAACAAGGACTGAAAAACTATGCCAGCACTTTAATGTAACTATTTAGATCCTGTTCCATATTGAGAGACCATGTTATTTAAGAAACAAAATTTGATCTCCAAGTCTGAGTGCTCTCAGTTCTGATCCTGAGACAACACAGGGCAGGAAAATCTGAAGGCAAATATTTTTCTTTAAGAAACAGTGAAAACTGAAATATTACCACATGAACTCTTCTTACAGTGAAGTAATCTATTTTCACAGATCAGTTTCAGAGTAATCAGCTTTTCACTGTACCCCGAACAGTAATTTGTACATTGCAGTGCGTTTGGACAGTGTAGGACTCTCACTGAATCTTTCACTGCAAAATTAGCTTCAAGGGATCCAGGCTCATTGTAGCTGTGCTCTGCTCTAGAGTCAGCCTCTTAGAGATTAAGAGGAAGAGGAGACCGGAACAAAAGCAAAAAAGAATTTATCAGTTAATAATATTTTGTGGGTGGGTATTATGTAATTTGCAGTTTATCTGTAGGTAGTTCTTTATTATCTTTTGTTAGTTTGGTCTGCTCTGGAGTCAGAGCAAGTCAGACTGGAATGAAGAACATGAGAGCAAAGCTGAAGATGTGTGGATCCTAAAGCTATGAGAAGAATAAAGACTTACTAACATTGATAATCGCAAACCCCTGACAGAAGCTTGAAAAATGTGATGAGCTCAGAATGAGAAGAACAAGAATAAAGGATCAAGAAAGACCATAAAAGGCTTAGAATCTTACAACACTGACTGCATCATTACCTAAATATTCAGATCACTGTAAAGGGTCAACTTCAATGTCAGTGCCAGACTGTTCAATGATGATGTATGTGGTGGATAGTCTCAGATGCTTCTGGGAAGTGGAATGTTGTACTAGGCTTCATTTCCAGCTAGTGAGCATCAAGAGTAAAGATGATAGCTATGCTTGAAAATAAAATAAAGCTGCTTTTTCATGCCTTATGCTTAAGTAAAAGTAGTGCCCCATGTGCGCAGGATTTCAATTTATTTTACTGATACGCTCAATACCCTTTTTTGATTAGTAAGAGGTAAGATAAGTGAGAAGCACTTACTTCTCTGATACATCAAAAGATACATGAAATTATACTTCCAAGGAAAGACAATCAAAAATTTGTCTTGCCTCCTTTTTACACTCATGAGTAAGGGATAGTGCCATGAGAGAAGCACATTTACATGGCCTTCATGTAAGTTCATGAAGCACCCTTCACGCCTTTCCCAGTTGTGCCTGTGCGTGTTACTGTTTTGTGCCAACAGTAAATAACAATTCTAATCTCTGAGCAGATTGAAAAGTGTCCTTCCATATTCCGTCTTATTTCCAAACATAAAAGGCATAGCAGACCAGACTTACTGGAGAAGCATTTTACATGCATGTGTGGCTGAGACCATCAAGGTAGCATGCTGTGTGCACATATGCCCAAGTCATAAAGCGCATTTGGTATTGACTGACAGATACCCCTTATCATATTTCTCACTTGGGTGTAGCCCAGATTGCCAACTCCAGGGTTTTGCTGTGTGCAGTAATACACATCTGGGCTGGCAGAGTGAAGCAATCACTTGTCGCATACAGCCAGTGAAAAGAAGTAGATGCTTTTGGAGAGCAATTAAGAGGACCTCTACGGACACCTCCAGAGCCAGTCTGTGACGCTGCACGCTGAGCAGAGAGCCTGCTAGAGCCAGCCGGCGGGAAGGGCAGAATCACTGTGTGTCCGAGGAGGTGCTTATCTTAACTTGCAGCTTCGCAGGAGTCCCTCCTGTACAGCCTTGAATGTGATGCTGGTTCCCCCAGGGAACTGGTCTGGTGTGGGTCTGGCTGGATTCCACCAGACCCTCCTCCTGCACAGCAAGCCAATAGGTAGGGTTTAGTCCCAGAAGCAGAAAACCGAGATAATAACTTCTGGAAGTGTTGGCATGGTCTTCAAAAAGTGTATTTAAGGAATTACTAGACTCTTGGGCGTAGAGTCATTCATTTCTAATGAAGTCCAGAATTGTCACCTGTTGGCCTTTCAGCAAGGTTGCTCATAGCGTACCTCTGGTACTTCCCAGTGGTACAGGTACAAATAATGCTGATTTTATAGGACGGTCTCAGTAAAAATATAACATGCAAACAAAAAACAACAAAGAATTGAAACTTACATTATGAATGTTTCATAATGGCATTTAAAAAGACTTTATATAATAGTGATTGGAAGAGTTTTATCTGTATATATATATATATTTCTTCATTTAAAAAAAATAGCCTGTGGCATATGCATCAGCAAGCTGATGCTGTGAGGCAGTGTTACCAGTGAAATGTGTAGCGTCTGCTTAAGGGGGAGCAGAGGAACTCATTTACTGTCTGTGTTTTAGAAGATGCTAATGTCTCACAGAGAAACAGGAAGTTTATTTCAAGACTTCCTAGACAAGCCATAGCAATGTCATTCATTTGCGAACAGTTAGTTAGCTTGTCATGTGTTAGAGGATCTAGATCAATTAACTCCATTGACCTAATTGGATTTTTAAAACAATATTAGTGAGTTTTGGTCCATTCGACCATATTTGCCTTGGAATAATTTTGCAATCCAGAGATCCTTTATGTTAATACAACTATTGGGATTTTCTCAATAGAGGAAAGAAGTTTTCATCCCAGTTAAACTTCACTGTTTCTGTCACGGAAATGAGAGTTTTTTATAGGTCCTCAGAACTCATGGTGGCCTTGTGGAATCAAACATCACAGCTCAGGAAAGAAAAATACCATGTGATGAATAGTGAAAGTTCCTTATCTTTATTGCTAATCTCTGTTGTAAAATTTGTGTCTCTTATTATAATTATTAATTTGTGTGGTGGCAGCATGTAGAAACCATGGCTGGCATCAGGAACCCATGGTAGTGAATATTGTCCAGACACACAGTCACTCTTCTGCAAGAGCTGTACTGGTTTCAAGCGTTACCTCCTGTAAAGTGTTCTTTGCTGTGGGGAGTGAAGTTAATCTGTTTTACCTTGATTTGAAACCCAGCTACTACCTCTCAGCTGAGAGGGCCACACCACACAGAAGGAATCCAGAATATGCACTGGAGGCTGGATGAGAGGGCTTGCTCTTAGCACCCTTGCTGTTGCTTTGCAGTTGTTTGTTTTGCACAGTAAAACACAGTGGATACTTCAGTCTCATTGCTCCTTGTCGTGGTAATGCTTTTGCCTCATATTTGTATTAAAGAACCTCAGATTTCTCTAGATACTTGACATGCTAATTTCAGGTGCTGCTTTATCCATGCAGATGGAAGAGAGTCTCCATGGTATAGGTGGAATACCTTTTGGAGCTATTTAAATGAGAGAACTTTTTATCTTCCAAGTTCATAGACATGAACTTGTGTCATTTACAAGTAGAGCTGAGGGTGGTGCAGGAGCGATGCTTCTGACTGATGTTTGCAGAGAGCACCAAACCGAGAGCTGTATTTTAGCCATCACCACTCACCTGGGAGCAGAAGAAAGCTTACCCGTTTGAACACGTACTTGCGACATACTGCTACCAGGTGTTTACCATATCACCCACACTGGGTACATGTTTACATACCACCGCTTTTGGGTTGCAGATATCACAACAAAACTTATGGAATGTGAGTGAAAGGCATTGCTAAAGCAGTCGCCTTGTGAATTAAGCAGGTACCTCTTACTGGAATTGTAATTCTACCAGTAAAAATAGGCAGCATCTTATATGTGCCTTTACATTATGAAACAATAAAACAAAATCTGATTTATGTGTATGGTAATATTTTCATTTGACTGTGTGTGAGTTTGTCACTTTAAGCTCAGAGAGCAGGTGATATTATCCTCTAGAAGCATAACCATGGCCCTACTTCTGAGCAAAATATACCTCATTAGAAATAAAATATTTTCCTTCCAGAATTACACATTACATTGTTCGGATTGTTTACACATAGGCCTGTTTAATAATAAGCTTACACCCTGTTAAATAAAGCCTTATTTTCAGAAGAGAAATCTGGGAATTTTAGTAATAAACTTCAGTGTCAACAGAAGTTACCTGCCACTGTGTACAAACTACACCTTTGCATGTGTATTCAGATACAACCAGTAATGATTTACACTACCCTGGATCAGATATTTGCATTGGCAGGCAGGTCTTTGTTCTATTGTGGGAGTTTTTTTCCTTATTATCTTGAATTCCAGTGATGTGCACAGAATCTTTCAGTCTCTCTCAGTCCCTTTTCAACTGTGTCATCTCAGATACCTACAGTAATGATTATCATGGAGATTGTAAATGTGATATATGGTAAATGTGATTTCTTTCTTTTCCCCATAACTGAAGAAATGCAAAACAAATAATTAGTGGCAGCACTACTTTGTAAAATTGCAGTTAACTGGGTTTGTAGTGAGAAATGTACTGTAACTACCTATTGTAAATTGAGAAACAGAGATATACATATAATAAATAGGAAATGTAGTAGATCTGTGGTTGTATGATTGAGCTTCTGAAACAGTAGCAACTACTATGTGTTACAGAAGATTTTCAGAGCAAACCAACTTGATGTAGTTATAAATACTAATGGTCATTAAAGAGCAAAATTGAGATTCACAATTGAATACAAACACCTGCATATCCCCTTTTCTCAGTCTTTATAGCTTGTGTGAGTATATGCCTTATAAAATTCTGCTTAACACAACTCGGTGACCAGAATGCATGATTAATACTAAATTTGTTTCTCTGTGAGCTTTTAAACAGTTGATTTCCTTTTGTTATGTTATGCACATCACTCTGCATGCATTTTCTAATGGTTTTGCCTCACTGTAATTTCCTTGTTGGGATGCTGAGAGAAGGGTAAGATAATTGATGCTCTGTTTTGAAACCTAGAATGATTGCAACAGATGGACTTTCTACCAAAGTGTATAATGAGGTTGTGTTTAACGGAAAGCTTGAATACTCTGTGTACCTCTCCTACTGCATTGTGTCTGTTCTAACAACTCTGACTTGGTACCTGCAACACTTTCAGTAGTTTCCTTCTGGATTATCCTGTAAAGTACCAGTGTCGCCACAGACCGCAGTACCCTGACAAGACATCCTTTGCCATCCATCTCCCAGTGCCCATTAATCTTCATGAGACGTCAGGTGGATTGATACCACTGTGCTGACTGGTCACGAATGACTCTTCTCTTTTAATTCAAACTAAGCTACAGCTCTTCACAAAAGGAAGTTTGTTGTATGGTGTACACGACACTGGAAATATATGATCCATGAAGTAGAACAAATTTCATTGCAAATGTGGCAAGAACTTGACAAATGAATCTTCAACTTCTGTCACCTTACATGACAACATCTGAGGTGTTGGGTAGAGAAGAGGGTTTCCTTATAATCCCTTTTAAAGTAAGGGGTTGTGGCAAGTGTCACACTTGTTCCTTTAAAAATGCCTTGATTCCCTGTCCTACATAAATTTAATGGTCTAGAGAAAAGATACATTTGTAGATGGATTCTTAACTTGAAACATTAAGCAAACTGTTATACCAATAGCCAGGAGTCCTCTGCTCTGGAAGCAACCAGAGTGTTTCCAATTAATAAAACTTCTTACAAATAGCTTAAGGAAAAAAACCCAGGGATTGGACATGAGCTGCAGCACCTGACAAGATGGAAGCTATTTAAATACAAAGCTATGGCCTGTGAAGAAAACAGACAGAGATATTCAAAGTATAATCAGTAATCACACCTTGTTAACACTATGCAGCCACCTGGGTCCAAGTAGGCCTTGCATGCTAGAACCCAAAATCTGCACAAGCTCTGAAGATGCCTAATGCCACGTGAGGGCAGCTGTGTAATGCTGGAGGGGGAGAGGGACTTCTCTCTCGTGCAAGGGAATATCCAAGCACAGAGCTAGCAGTTTACAGCCTCAAAAGTGCAGACTGAAAGTTTTATGTAAGGTGAAGGGGGCAAAGTCTTGCTCGGTTTGTGAGCTATCACAGAAGGGCTGGTCAGATTCCAGATGGCCTTTGGGTTGGTGCTTAATATCATGTCATCGAACAGGTAACACTGAAGCAGAATACACATTTGGTTCTTTATTAGAGGAACTTCAGGAAGTTAGCTTAAAATCTCGGGGAAAGGTCCGGCTACTGAACGTAGCAAGAGTCCTCTGGCAGAGGATGCAACAGTGACTGCTAGAAATGCTCATATTTTCCTGAAGGAACATATAAGAACTGTCTCAGAAAAAAATACCAGTTTTAGAAAAAGAAGTGATCATGTGTTTTCCCAATTACATTTGTCTTGATAATCTCCTGTCAACAAGAAATAAGGAAGATCGCTGTTTATAAGAGGACGCTCTTATTTTCATATCTTTATTCTGTGTAGGTTATAGAGGACAGAAAGGGGAGAGAGGCGAGCCTGGAATTGGACTGCCTGGTAACCCTGGACCACCTGGCCCTGCAGGTACGAGTCTCCAGACTTATTTCTGCTATTGTTATTTATGAACTAACAGGCCTTTCTCCTGGTTTTCACACTGGTTTTACACCCGTGCTTTTCCTCCCGAGCTTGGCTGTAGCGTGAGCTCAGACCAGCCTGCCTTCTCGGGGCTGCGCTGGCGTGAAGCTGTCTGTCAGTGATGAAACGTGGAGCACTGCACGCTCTCTGGAAAGGACTCTGCTAATTCTGGCTTTGTTTTACCAGCTACTGGCCTGCCAGGCCCTCCAGGAACACCAGGCTCACCCGGACCGCAGGGGCCACCTGGACCCAACGGGAGATGCAATCCAGCAGATTGCTATTACCACGTATCACAGACTCGGTCACGCACCAGCGGGAAATAAAAACCCTCTCCCCTAGACGTTTGGGTTCACCGTCACTTTTCACTCCTCTCATTAGGTTAATTTAACTTTTGAAATATTTGGTGCATTTTTTTTCCTTCGACACTGCATGGTACATAGATAATATATAAGGCACAGAATTGAGCCTTTTTCTGTGTTATTTGCAGTGTCGTAATTATGAAATGATGACATGTATTTTCCAGAGTGCATTCCATGTGTTATGTTTCTCATATTTATTTTACTTATAGAAGAAAATAGGCCCAAATAATTTTCATAAGCTTCTTTCTTCAAACAAGAAGTATTTTATTATACCTTAAGACAGTA